TGTTCTAGCTGCGATACCGGTATTAGTGCGCAAAATGGATGTCATCTCGAAGAGGGTCACCGGACGGTATGGACAAGTTTAAAAACCCAAAATTGGCTTCACTGAAGGACTGGAATGATCAGTTTAAAGACTGAAGGCAGAGAGGAAAATTATCTCAGCCTGACCCAAACAAATTCTTGTTATCTGAATCTGACGCCCTGGTAGCCTTGAACGCCAAGCAACAAACCCCCACGAAGGAATGTAGACAGATGCTGTGAAAACCCGACCTACCCCCCCCCGCCTTCGAATTGGTGGACTTCAGCCTGGCGAGGTCATCAATCTGCAGGAGTCAATGTGCTCTTCGCTTCTCCCAAGATCTCCCTCCCACCTGTGACCGTACAGTAGATGAGCACCGTAGATGGCTGCTCTCGCTGGGGGAAACAGGATTCCAGCCACCCCCCCCCCCCCCCCCCCGCCTTCCTACTGGAGTATCATGCTATGTTGTGTTGTCTGAAGTCTGTTGCATATTTGTTGAGGTGTTTTTTTTTGCAGAGCAAAGCTGCCCTCCTGGTGGGAGGGTAACTGTGAAGTGCCTTTTTTTCCCTCCACCTGAACCAATCCTCATGTAACCCTCTAATCTCTATTAAGGTAGCGCGACTCGGGTTGCGAATGACCACAGTCACCAATTCTTGTCATGTGTCTTGCCCATGTATGTCTGATCTCTGAATTGTGTGTACTGAAACTCAAATTTCCCTCTGGGATTAATAAAGTATTGATTGACTGACTGATTGATCAGATCTACGTTCCAACCTTCACCTATGGTCACAAGCTTTTGGTAGTCACTGAAAGAACAAGATTGTGGATACTAGCGGCTGAAATGACTTATCTGTAGGGTGTCTGGGTTCTCTTAGAGATAGGGTTAGAAGTTTGGTCATCGGGGAGGGGCTCGGGGTAGACCCGCTGCTCCTCCACATCGAGAGGAGCCAGTTGAGGTGGCTTAAGACATCTGGTCAGGAGGCCTCCTGGACACCTCCTTGGTGAGGTTTTATGTTCACTTCCAACTGGGAGAAGACCTAAAGGAAGACCCAGGACATGCCAGAGGGACTATGTCTCTCACCTGGCCAGGGAATGCCTTATGATTCCCCTGGAAGAACTGGCCCAAGTGGCTGGGAAGAGGGAAGTCTGGGCCTCCCTGCTTAGGCTACCGCCCCCGTGATCCGACTCTGGATAAGCAGGATATAATCGATGGATGGATTAAAATGGTGAAAATGTTATACGCCTTCCCAAAAGTAAATTACCATCTTGCAGGAACTTGTCGGGTTATCTTAAACCAGCTCATTTGGTGACGATCAGGCTGTCTGATGCAGTTCTGAGTATAACGTTGGTTGGTGGTTTTTTTTTTGTCAGATTTGAGAGCATTCCTGTCATTTTAACTGGATATCTCCGATGTTACATCATTTCAGCTATAACCAAACACAAAGTAAGTACATTTAATGGTGAGTCCAAACATGGTAAAGCACTGTATGATAAAATCCTGACATAAATAGAAACTAGTTAAAAGTCTCTGTCTGACCTGCTGCCCTTTCTCTTCAGTCTGACAGGGATGCCCTTTGGAAACACGCATGTGGTAAGAAAATTGGGGCAAGGCTATTGCCTAATACAATAGAAAAACATGGATGATCTGTACTTCTTTTTGTGTTTATCGTGAAGAATCAGAACACAAAAGACTGCTGACATTTATTGCACGGGGATGCACAATTTCATCTGAAAGCACGAGAACACATAGAATACCGACATTAGAGTTAAAAGCCTAGCATCCCTTAAAATCATATGCATCACACATTGCCTTTTATGCTTCTGATTTATTCTGAGATCTGTTAAAAATGGGTTTTGTCAAAGTCCTAAAAAACCCTCAAGTCACTTCATTAGATCTTGCTCTTATGTGTCAGTGTGTGGTGTGAATGATTGCTGTCAAACCAAATTTTAAATGAATATCTGCAACACTGTCTGAGTTAAAGGAGTTTTTGTGCATGCAAACGTTGATAGCGGCCACCTTGAATTGGGTTTAAAAAAGACTAAATCATCATTACCCTGGGATTTAATAAACTCATGTCCAGGGAAAATATGTATTTGATAGCAAACTATATGAGTGCTCTGAAACTGCTTTGAGGGAAATAGATCACATAATCTGAAAACATGTCTGGACATGTCAAGGATACTTCTGTTTGAGAAAACAGCTCTAGGAGGCTGTGTGATGCATGAAAGTACAGGAGAAACGCTGCCCCTCTCACAGAGGCACACTCTGGTTTGCATCATTGTGGAGAATGATTCACACTGCTGCAGGATAATGAGTCCAAACACACATCAAAGCTGTGCAAAAACTCCCTCATGACCACAGAATACCCGGGAGAAGAGCACTGTCCGTCACAGACCTTCGCCCACCTGGTTGTCAAGAACTCTGAAGTTTCCAGAAATCATAACAAACTGCTGGACCGCGCTGAGAGACAGGCTTTCATTCAATATTTTACAGCTTTGTGTGGTCAAATGAAAAGATTAGGAAACCACATTGCCTGGCTAAAAACAGTCACCCCCAAAAAAAAGGGGCACACTCTAATATTTTGTTGGTCACACATTATGACCAACATTTTGATTACGACACACATTCGCTGTGGCATTGTTTCGATAAGCTTCTGCAATGTCACGAGGTTTATTTCCATCCAGTGTTGCATTAATGTTTCACCAAGATCTTGCACTGATGATGGTTAACGTTAATGTTTATTTATTTGGCAGACGCTTTTACCCAAAGCGACGTACAATTGTTAACCTATAGGGCATGTTGTGATCTGTGGGGAAACCGAAGTACCCGGAGGAAACCCACACATGCATGGGGAGTACATGCAACTCCACGCAGAAAGACCGCAGCCAGGTTTTGAACGTGCAACCTTCTTGCTGTGAGGCAACAGTACTAACAACTGCGCCACCATGCAGCTACGATGGGAGCGTCTGACTGCTGAATGAAGCCTTCTCCAGCACATCCCAATAATTCTCAACGGGGTTAAGGTCTGGACTCTGTGGTGGTCAATCCATGTGTGAAAATGATGTCTCATGCTCCCTGAACCACTCTTTCACTATCTGAGCCCGATGAATCCTGGCATTGTCATCTTGGAGTAAGCCCGTGCCATCAGGGAAGATGGAATAACCTGGTCATTCAGTATATTCAAGTGGTCAGCTGACCTCATTCATGTATCACACCCTGTTGCTGAACCTAGACCTGACCAACTGCAGCGACCCCAGATCATAACACCGCCCCCACAGGCTTGTACACTAGGCACCAGGCATGATGGGTGCATCACTTCATCTGCCTCTCTTCTTATCCATCACTCTGGAACAGGGTTCATCTGGACTCTTCAGACCACATGATCTTCTTCCATTGCTCCAACCTTTATGCTCCCTAGCAAACTGAAGCCCTTTTTCTCCGGTTTGCTTCACTGATTAGTGGTTTTCTTACAGCTACACAGCCGTTAAGTCCCCTCACACTGTGCGTATGGAAATGCTCTTACTTTCACTATTAAACACAGCCCTGAGTTGTTGTCTTATTTGATTTCACTAAATGTTTAAGTGATCACCGATCACAATTATTCCGGAATTTTTTTATGTCCACATTTCTTCCTCAAAAACGATGGATCCCCTCTATCCTTCCAGTTTTTAATAAAGCGTTGGACAGTTCTTAACCTAATTTTAGTCGTTTCTGCAATCTCCTTAGATGTTTTCTCAGCTTGATGCATGCCAATGATCTGACCCTTCTCAAACAGACTAACATCTTTTCCATGACCACCAGATGTGTCTTTCCACATAGTTGTTTAAGAAAGAAGAAGCAACTCATTGCACCAGTTGGGGTAAAATAACTTGTTGCAGCTGAAAGACAATCACCCATGCAGTAATGATCTAATAGGAGGCTTGGATAGTTAAATCCAGATGGTTAGTTTGGCCATGCAGTGTTTTTCTTTATAAAGTGTTCTAAATGTGGTTTAATGTTATTATAAAAAAAAAATAAGTTGTGAATAAATATGTATACAGTCACATTTTTCTTTATTGCCGTTGTTACTGTTTACAAAGGACTAGCATCTACAGATACATTAGTGTTATTAAAACAACACCACTTTAAAAAGCGTGAATAAAAACACATTCAGTAGGCTTTTCAGATCGAATCGACAAAATGAATGACCAAAAGCATTCTTACTGAAACTGGTACGACAATCACCCCACTCAGGGGCCCTGGAGACCGTTAGATTGCCCTCGTGGGATGAATAAGAAAGCCTGAGAGGTGATGGTTCCTGATCATGGATCAGTCTAATATACAATAACTGCAAACCAGATAAAGTCACTCATCTGTAATTCTTGTAATTCGTGTTCATGATTGTACAGTGATGGTAATCTCATGTTATTTTGACCAGCACTCACACCTGCTACGAACCAGCATATAGACCCATAAGAATATGGGACATAAAATCTAATGTAAAATGCAACTTTTGTATTAACTCCTGATGATGACTTGTTGGTTAGCTTGTTTTCCTGGTATTTCTATCATTTCTTATTTTTTTGGTCCCTCTTGTTTTTCAAATTTAACTTTTTATTAAATATTTTTTATTCATATTGTGCTTGTGAAGCACCTTGGCATTTGAGTCCTGAAAGGCGCTATATAAATAAACCTTTCTTTCTTCTAAAACCCTTTGCAGCAGTCAAAGGTAGCCATGTGACTGACTGATAAGATTTTTGAGTTGACAGGTGGTTTAACAGGTGTACCGTCATTGACGGCAGCGTCCATAAACGATCTTTGAGCTTTCTTTCAGGCGGAAGAGAAGGAGAGGCACCAGCTGGATCCAATTAGCCATCATCGGGTCAGGTTTAAGAGGATAATTACTACTGTTTGGGTAGTTCCAAGCACTCGCACTAGTCTCTAGGTTACTCTTGTTTGTCTATGATTTTTTGTTGGATATCTCGCCATAATTCTGATTACTTCTTCTCATCACCTCAGGCCATCAACGCCGCTTCAAAGTCGCCATAACTCCATCTCTCTGGACTGCGTCCCTACCTCCTCCACCAACCGACCCACTCTCACCCTCCTCTCACTCACCCCTCCTGTTGGGCTCACTGCCTCTCCCACGCTCACCAAGGTCTCTTCCCCCGTAAGTCCCGAACATCCAAACCCCCATGCTGTGTCACTTCCCAGGCCTCACCTGTCTCTCCTCCTCAGACTCCCTCCTGGCTTACTCTGCTCCCACCGGACTTCCCGGTGCACCTTTAGTTCCCGTTTGCATAATATTTTTCTTTCCACTTACCTTGTTGTGCTGATTCTGCGTGCCTTGGGTTAAACACCTTCCTCAGAGCACGACAACTAGATTTAATTTAAACTAAGCATACACGTGACACAAATCATAAAACACCCCTCTGACCATTTTAAAGAATCATAAAAACACACCAACTTTACTTTTATTTAAATTTTAAGAGTATAGATCTAAAGTAATGACAATAAAAAGATCAGGAGCATTAATGTTTAAAAATGAAAGAAAGAAACTGACAACAAAAGGGGTGGTTCTGAACTTTTGCCGGTTATATTTATAATTCAGATAAATGGCATGAAGCTGTCGTCAGAATTCAGGACAAAACCCAAAAACTTCACAAGGACTTTTTCTGTTAATGTTTGTTGTGTAATAACACTCAAGACCTCTAGAGGGGCGTCAAGATGATGATTTGACCTGTAACTGGAATGAAACAGAAGATAATCACCTGACTGTTCAGAGTAAATCATCCTGATTTAGGTCATACGTAACACAAGTCCTTCGCCTCCACTCCAGAGTAGGTGTGATCAGAAAATTGCACATTTCTCCAGAGACAGTCTAAAAAAATCCCCTACAGACAGAAAAAGGCTAGTTAATGCAACAGAAAACCTCCCACAAATTAAGGATATTGAGTTCATTCATCAATTCCTGCAGCGCTAATTCTCCAATCATCTCTTTTCATAGTTTTGAGTCATAACAGCAGCAGTTCATGAGAAGACTGGCCTCACGTCTTGATGTGAAGTCTCGTCATCTAAGATGAGTTTTTACTGTTTCTTTGTTTTCTCTTTGTTGGCAGCAGAGGAACATTGCGGTGGCTTTCGGGATTGCTCGTTAACGGAGCTCCACCACAATCTGAGCTGCATTAGTAGGATCAAAAGAGACAGGGCGGGGCAAAGAAAACAGAGACATCATTAAGATGACAGAGAAGAACAGAACCCCTGGATCAGACTCCTAGAATCAAAAACCAGGTTTGCTTTGCTCTGATCTATTACAGCACTGCAGTTAAACAATGGTTCTTCCCTTTGCAGCAGAGTGTGACTCCCTGGTTTCAAGATGCTTCATCAAACTGCTAAAACAAACAGTTTGTGGTCGTCTGAACTGGGACGTGAGACAGAAAGCCTCTGACAGGCAGCCTTGCTTGTTTTCCATAACAACCTCCACATCCCTTCCTCCTGTCTGCAGCAGGAGACCTGTGTAATTACATCCAGAGCACTCTTGATATCACTACTGACATCCACTCGAACTGCCCCTCCCCTCTCTGGCTTTCTCTCTCTCTCTCTGCCTCCCTGCATCTCTGTTCCAGCAGAGCTCGTCCACAGGCAGTGTGCGGTCCTGCCTCTTCATGTGAGTGAAGCATCGCAGCAGACGGAGAGGCGAAGGAACGAGGCAGAGATGAGAGAAGAGGGGGAGTGTGGCAGAGTGCTGAAAAGGGAGCTGAGAGCAGGAGATGACTGAAGGTTCACTCAGACTAAACTCTTTCAGGTAAGTGTGACGCTAATTTGAATATCAGACTGCTCTGCCAGCGATGCTGCATGAAGTGAACACAAGGGAGGTTTTATTTTTAATTTTTCTGCATCCTTTAAAATCCCCTAAGCGGAACAAAACAGAGCATCCTCTCCAGCGGAGGGATGAGAGCTCCATCAGGTCCAAATCAAACACTTCTGCCACTCTGTGGGCCCCTGTTAAAGTGGCGGAGATGAAACTCCTCGAGTTTTGGCTTATGATGGTGGAATCTGCCGCCTCTAAGATTTAAAGACAAAAAGCCTCTCAACATGAAGCAAATGAATGCATAAATAAGAGATGAAAAGACTGAAACGGCTGATTAGAGATGATACGAATCATGAGATGAAGTGTTTTTCTCCTGAGTGAAGATAGCTGGTTCATTCCTGAAATCAGAAATCTGCTAAAACTGTTGCTGTGAATAACAAAAACAGCTAAGATCTCAATTATAATGATCAACACCCAGCATGAAAAAAACACCAACTCATTTTAAAAGTGATTAAATGAGGACAGAATCAACAATTAATGAAATCAAACAAAAAAAGTCTTTGTGATAATTTCATAGGTTATTCTACTGTATTTTGTAAAAAACATCATTATTAACTATAGATCTATTCAGTAGGAATTATAAATAAGAATAATGTATTTTTATAAGATAATTCCTCACACATGTTTTAATGAATGAGTGGTCAGATCTGCTCTAATAGGGCCAAATCTGGAGATTTTCTGCAGCAGATGCAAAACCACGACAAAGAACGTACAAGAGTGTCAAAACATCGTGCTGCATGTGATCAGATCTTTTGCTTTATTTTTGTGAATAAACAATAACACTTCATTGCAGTTAGGCTATAAGTGTGCAGTGTTGTTTGTGCACATGGAAACTACAGTGTACAGAGATCTACAACCTTCTCAAAATCTGAAATAGTAAAGACAATAATGTGTTTTAAGTGTTTCCATGCTTCGTGGAAGTATGCAATTGTTCCATTTGTTTTTCTTTTGCAGACATTGAAAATCATTTGCTGGAAATAAATGCAGAGCTGATTACTGTGAAACCGCCAAGGCCACAGAGGGCTACAGGTGTGATCTGTATGGTGGAGGGCTTGTGTCCCATTAAGAGCCGATGTTCATCTTAGCAGGAACAATCAGGAAAACTTCATCTACACACTCAGCAGTGTAAACTTCTCACTTTGAATGCATGCGTACGTCAAATATTAATTCATAAATAAATTAAGTTCATCTGCATTCAGGAGTTTTTGAAGAGAGGCCAATTTCACACACTTAAAGTGACATCATGGAATCTGTAAGAAGCACAACAGGATTATCCACAGCTGCTTTGGTGGCCATCGCCTGCAACGCTTTCATAGCGGTCCTCCTCCTGCTGCTCTGCCTGATCGTCTACAGAGCCTGCAGGGTCCCTTCTAGACTGGAGAGGCTGCCTGCGTCAGCGCCTGGTGAAGCAGAACCCCAGCAGATAAATGAGCACAAGTACCTGTTGACCTCCTGACTGCAGAGCGATGAGTCTAGCGTAGCAACGGGCGTAGCAGTCGGTGTGCGCTTCTACAGGGGCAGAGCTGGCGGCAGGACGGAGACTGACTGTGGCCCTGTGGCTGTGCTTCACAAAGATCACGTGGATAAGTTGTTTGAGGGTGAACTGGACTGTTTTTACACAAATCAAGTTGCGAAAATAACAAATGTCTTCTCAGAAAGCAAATGTGAGTGCTGAACACAGTTAAGGAGTAGATTTGACCACATCTCTCAAGAAGAAGCTAATATGTTGGGAGTATTTTATTTTATTCATGCAGCCAATCAGATTTATCTGATTGCACCAATTAAGAAAAAAATTATTTCACTTAGTGTTTTTATTGGAGCATTTTATTGCAAGTGCTATTTTTTTTTCTAAACTCCACCTTCTACTGTGATTCATGCAGCCACAGTAATTGAGGTCTCTGGTTGCAGCAGTCGGTGTCTGTGCTGCAGATGTATTCTCATTTCTGTCACCGTGGTTAAAATCCTGTGCTTTAAACTCTTGGGGAAGTGATTTAACCCAAAGGAAGTTGGTGTGTGAGATCACAGAAGGGCACAAAAGGAAGAGAAGCTCCCTGCGGAAATGTTTGATTTTAATTCTGTGTTAAAGCTTCAGGCAGATGGAGAGGAATGAAGGAAAAGGACTAAATAAAATGACATCAAAGTTACATTCTGGTTGTAGATGGGATATTAAAAGGCTTCTGGATCATCCCTGGACAGGATTCTGAAGCAGTGTGTGTGACGGCAAAAAATAATTGTTATGGATTTAGTCCACAAGTGCAAAATCCATTACTTTGATTTATATTATAATAATTCTTGTCCTTTTTAATTAAATATACTTGCACATCTCATAGGACTTGAATAAATCTTTGTAGATAAGAAAGTAATTTTCCAGTCACTGAAATCTGGATTTTGTGTATTAACAAGAAACAAAACCAGGTTTCAGAAAACCTGAAAATTTTCCAAAAATCAACCATTTTTTTTAGCAGAAACCATAGAAAAACATTTAATAGACACCCATCTAGCTTTTTTGTTGTGTATTCTTTTAATTTCAAAGAAAAGTAGCAGGAACGATATGTAAGAATGTCTGGATGTGATGTCTGATTTGTTGTCACTTAAATTACAAATTTTTACAAGCTAATACATCTCAAATTATGTGACAGACACAACTGAAACACACCTAATTACCATTTAAACTAAAAAGTACATGATATGTGTGATTCAGGGCGTATGGCAAAGCGGGTTAGGAAATAACTTAATTCACTTGCAATCATTTTTTTTCTCAGTCAGGGGATCCATGAGCCAACCGGACGGGAAGGAGACTTAAGCCTAATTTATACTTCCTCTGTCTGCATCTGGACGGGCAATGCCTTTGTGTGTCGAAGCAAGAGCTCTTGACGGGCTTGTGGAGGAAGACTGAGACATGCCCCAAATTTTTACTTCCCATCAAGAGGCACAGAGATTGCAAGCTTTTGACTGGTCAGGATGCTGCTTCCTGTTTCATTCATCAACAGCTTGGTGGCAGACACTGTTTGAAGAATGCATCGCGGCAAAAGTATGCAAATATGAACGTTTAATCACCCGTGACTAAAGGAGTACAAAGATTTGCAGCAAGCATTTTATTCTTGGATGGAAAAGACGAGAAAAATGGATTTAGAGGTGCAGATCATAGCTGTTGTCCTAGAGGGGAATTGTTTTGCAACAATCCTCAGCTGACAGAGAAGTCTGAAATCAAAACGTCTCTCAGTGCGTGTGTGTCTCTCCCTCGCGGAGCTGATGGAGAAGTATAAATTAGGCTTTAGGCTTCCTATAGCAGATGTATGGCAAACAGCTGCACTCCCTCTAATGCCGGGGGCATTCTACCGTAAAACACCCAAGAGTGCAAACATCAGATATGATAATGCATGTTTCTACTGTGTATGACTCATCATTGCTTTGTCATCTAGAATCTTCTGGCGTTAATCCGTAACTGTAAACAGCCAATAAACTCACTGAACCCCAGTGAATCAGTTTTTGTTTTAAAAAATGGACTGCAGTACCCAGATTTGATCACTGGATGGCAGTCTTACATCATCCTCACATAATGCACCTTTAATTTTTAAACAAATGTGAAAAAATAGTCTGGCTGCTTTGATCCCTCATCTATTCGATGTCACTCAGCCAACTCAGAATGTGCTCCATCTTGGTCACTTCTGCTTCTGGATCCAAAGTCAGTTCCTGACCCCGCTGGACCTACACAGAAACAAAGACAAAAACCACTTGACATAAACCTTATGTTTAAATTATCGTTCTTAAAAAGGCAACTATCAAAAGGCAGACGCAACACAGACAGAAAATGAAATGAAATGACTAAAGTGTCATGAACAGTGTTTTTATTTCTCTTCTGAATAACAGGGAAATGTGCTAAAATAAATGTGATCACTGTCTTGAGGGCATTTTTGCAAAAACAATGTTTATGTTTATGTTTATTCATTTAGGAGACGCTTTTATCCAAAGCGACTTACAATTTATAACCTATAGGGCATGTTGTGATCTGTGGGGGAAACCGGAGTACCCGGAGGAAACCCACGCATGCATGGGGAGAACACGCAACTCCACGCAGAAAGGCCGCAGCTGAGTTTCGAACCTGCAACCGTCGTCCTGCGAGGCAACAGTGCTAACCACCACCACCACCACCATGCAGCAAATTATGCTGTGAGCTCAGAAAAACATTGTATGCTTAGAAAAGCATAAACTTCAAAGATCTATGGTCTGTATCGCTGCATTTGTTTGTTCTAACTCTTGGTGTTATCAGATCTGCTGTTTTTGCCACGGTCAAAGGCTGCTGAGCTGGACTTAAATTCAAGAACAAAATGAAGACAAAACCCCATGATGTATAAAATATCACACGTGGTAATGCCAAGGCGATTCTGAGCACACGGAGGAAGTGCTGAAACTATCATTTTAGAGAAGGATTTTTTCTTATTGACAGATCCTTTGAATTTTGACCTAATCTATTAAAATAAACAGCACTACACACACAGCTTTTTGGTTTGGGTTTTATGGCCTCAGTGGCTCTCTTTGCTAAAATGGAAGCTCTGAACAGACCAATATGTTCACGTTGAAAGATTTCTTACTGAAATTACTCGTTGAGGGTTTTCATGAGTGATGCTTACTTGCAACACTGGCTGCTCGGCCCTGTTAGTGGTGTTAAACTGTGCAGATCAATGGACATTGAAGGGCGATAGTCCCAAATCAAGCAGGCAAGCTAGACAGACCTTGACGTTACGTACAAGTGCTGTGAGTCAGCACAAGACAGGATGTTGTGGAAAAACTTTTTGTTTACTAGAATTGACGTCAAACCAAAGTAGAAGATTTGAAAGGTGACTTTAATCAGGCCTGATTAGATCTCCATTTGCTCTCCATCTGTGCTCAGAGGGACTGCTGTGAGCTTTCAGGAACTCATCAGCCACACACAGGTTAAAGGAGAGCTTTAGTTTTACTGCTCTACTTTGCTTGTTTTCCTGACAACTGCAGTAAAATATTCCATTGATTTAAAAACCCTTGTGGAGTTGTAACTGCAGCAGACAGACAGCAGTCACTTTGAAGAATAAGGTGGGTGGGGCCTATCCAAGAGAAGCGTGCGTCCATCTAAAAACAACTAACACTTCTTCATGAAATAAAAAGATTATGATGCTGAAATAACAAAAACTTGAGTTTTAATTGTTTTAGATGGCAGAAATTAGCCCCTGATCAGGTCCTGCTATGGGTATTTAGCTGGAGTCCCACACGTCAGTTGCAGGTAAGATACTGACTGCTGAGATGAATTTACCCATACCATACCAGCATCATCAATGATTTTTACAGCTTCTGACCTTGGGCGTCTTGCGGAGGTTAGGAGAGAGTTTGAAGCTGCTGACGAGTCCTTGGTCATCACCCACGATGATAACAGGGTGGACTGGATTAAACTCGATGTGAGTCAGCTTGGTCTTCTTTTTGGCCACGACCAGCTGCTGGCAGATGGCCTCATATTTGTTGATGCTCAGATCAAAGACGCGAACCTGAAAGAGAAGTCGATATGTCAGTTCTTTTCACTGTTTTGACTCACTAAAGGAGGACTGTTCAAAGTATTTGTGGCCCATGGTGCAATTTAGTCAGGTTGTTGATGTAGATTGACACTTTTGAACCTTTTATGTTCATCTTTACTAACATGAACCTATTTTTTGAGCAGCACAAATAAAAAAACTCACTACATGATCATTTTGTGAATAAAAAAATTCTGATATGTGGCCTGTGAGGAATTTTAACGATTTAAACACTGGAAAATTTTGGACACCCCTGCACTAAAGGAGTTGGCATTTCATTACTACATTAGTGTCCATGCATGCACACAAACACAACTGTTAGAAGTTGACACTAAGTTTATGAGCACCACGCAAAGCACCCTCCTCATACCTAATCATCAAATTACTTTATGTGGCAGGCCACAAATAAAAGTCTGCCTCCAACAGCTCGTCTCCTAACTTAAAGTGGCGCCAAATGCTTGCCGACAAACTCTTTGGTTACATCTATCAGTTTATTAATATTCCTCCTTTTTTCAAAAAAGAAAGCAGCAGTTGTCGGCATGCATGGATTACTGTAATGCTCATTATTAACAGGAATTAAACATAAGTAGTTAAATGACAGCATCATCTTAAAAGGTAACAAAATAATGCAGAGGCGTGTTCCCTATGGGTCAAGGTAACAACAAAAGAAAAAACGGGCTAATGCACTGCAGGTGTTGTAACTACACACTATAAACAAGTGTAGGAGGGAGGAGAGAAGGCAAAACTAATCGATGCAAACCAGTGATCAGGTGAAAAATAATTAATCCTTGTCTTCATCAACAGAAGACGGGTTACACACACACACACACACACACACACACACACACACACACACACACACACACACACACACACACACACACACACACACACACACACACACACACACACACACACACACACACACACACACACACACACACAGTCCAAAGGGCAACTTTAGAGTCACTAATTAACTGAACACACCTAATTTTGGAGTGTGGAGGGAAGCTAGAGTAAAAGTCCCCCACCCCCACCCCCCCGGAGCTTTTGCTATGAGGGCTGATTTACAACAGAACACACACCCAGACTCCTCAGACAGAATTCCTGTGGACTATGAACACTGACTCCACATAGATATGCACGCTGCAGAGAAGTACAGACAGACCGTGCTTCAGTTTCTCAGCAGCCAGTTCAGTTACAGTTCTACCATGTTCAGGATGAACTTCCTCCTACTGTGTGTCCTGCTTTGGGCCACCAGTTGCTCAGCTGACAAAGGTAACATTTGTCCTCAATACAATTTTTCTGATTCCTAAATACGTAAATTTTAAATTGAATTATTGTTTTTTTCACGAGAGAACAGTTGGGAGCTCTTACGCTAGTAATGTACATGGTACATTCGAAAACTTGACAGAAAAATATGTTTATCCGTTATATGCATCCATATAAATACAAGTTTAATCACAATTTAAAAATTTCCACAATAATTTTGATATTACTTGTAGAACCGTTAGCAGCGGCTGTAGTTGCCACCATAACTAACTGTTACTAATGTTTATCGCAGGTGCAGCTCGATCTCGTTCGGTGACCATTCAGCCCTGGTTAGTGGGGCTCTCTGCTGTTGTTGGCTTCTTATTTATAGTCTTCGTTATCCTGATCATTAGAAGACTACTTAAGAAAAACAGGTCTGTTAAACACACACACACACACACACACACACACACACACACACACACACACACACACACACACACACACACACACACACACACACACACACACACACACACACACACACACACACACACACACACACACACACACACACACACACACACTAGAAGATCAATTTCCAAATTCCTATAACTTACAGAAAACCCTAACCCTTTACAAAGCTGTTCTGAAGCAACAATGAGTACGTGTGTGTGTGTGTGTGTGTGTGTGTGTGTGTGTGTGTGTGTTTCTGGCTTTTTGTTGACTCCTTCACATTGTTGTTATTAACCTTGAACTCTTATAGACAGCACAACTCTATCTCTCAGCAGCTGAAGCTTCCATCTGAGAGACTCACTATCACATTACCTTATTATAATGTAGGGTAATAATACCTCTGGATTGCTGATATAAAAAGTGCCTTATGTAAAAAAGTATTATGTGTTTTTACTTTTCTAATAAAGGTGTCATGCCCTGATTCCATGGTATTTGTAGAGCTGACCGACAGATTTCTAATCTCAACTAAACACACTGTGTGTAACTGTGTGTTAATTAAATCTTGTTCTCACTTTTACCATGTGCTCTGTTCAAAGACCACACAGCATTCTGTCCATGATAAATGATCTAAATGAAATTCTCACTTTTAATCCAAACAAGTACACTGAGCTAAAGTGCTCAAGAAATGCACACAGTTTCCACGCCATCATAGTGAAATCTAAAGAAAACCCAACCATTTCACAGACTAAACTAACAAAAGAAATTTTATTTTACTTTATCAAGTAGCAGTTAAATAAACCTTGGATTAGGAATTTTAAAGATTTTTAAGCATTGTGGCCTTTGACTGTAACTTTAACTTCTGAACACTTTCAGATAAAACTGCTTGAGTAAGCACAACCAACCAGATTTTTGTTGTTTTGTGTTGCAGGGTGGATGAAGAAGATGGGGGTTATGACAGAATGATCAAGATGGATAAAGAGGACACACAAGAAACCGTTATGTAAAGACCCCGCTAATAAGACATCAGATTACCGGCAGAGATAAGGCGGAAGGAGAGAAGCTAGATCTAACCTTTTGACTTTATCCACAAAGAAAAATGTTTCCACAGTCTCCATCAGAGTGAATGGAGGCTGTATAGGTGAATGAAATGATATGATTTTATAACATGATATGATATTGTATAGTATAATAATAAATAAAGGTGTATTTGAATGTATGTGCAGGCAATGAGGTGGATGCTTTGTAGCTCTATAAATAATTTACACTCAGCTTAATAAAAGCTATATAAGGAACAGTTTAGGAGTCTAAATTCCACAAAAACCTCTATCCATCCATCCATCCATCCATCCATTTTCATCCACTTATCTGGAGTCAGGTCGCGGGGGCAGTAGCCTAAAAGATTAAAATTGTAATTCAAAAGTCAATTAAGAAGGAGAGAGACTCTTACTATTCCATCTATTGTCACCGCAGCAAAAATAGTGGAGGAATATGGAGCCCAGGCAACATCTCCAATGGCTGACATCAGGTCAAAGGTGAACACCGGAACCCTGCAGACACAGGCACAAAATAAAAAACTATATATGCAACTAGAACATTAATTAGTAGCGGAGGATCTTTTCCTTCTGGGTGGACCATCTGAACGATTGTTCTGCATTACTGTCAATCATTCTGGTGAAGCTTCCATGCAAGGCCGTCGTTGTGCGCGCTCATTCCTGAGTTAGTTTTCATTTCCTTCACATTCTGCTTATGTGTAGAGGGATAAGTTTTCATTCCTCGCCATTCTCACTGAGTTTTTTTGGAAAATAGCTGAGAGTTGCAAGAGAAAAAGTGTCTTTGAAGTCTACAATAAGATGTCACTAATATTATTAGTGACTGGATCCAATCACTAATGATATTGTTTCCTAATGATTGGTGGATCCTAAATTGAACTAAATCAAATACGGTATTGACTGAACTGGAGATATTGGCTAATATGGAATCACAATCAACTGTATCGATTTTATCGTGATCAAATAAAGGATTTATACCCTAATATTAATAATGTTAATAAATTAAATTCCACTCATCTGGGGGATTTTACATAATTTAAAAAGAGCAAATGTCATTACCTAAAGTCTGGGCGATACGCCAAAGGGAGACATAAAATGTGACCCAGGACAGTAAACTTGTGAGGTTTTTTTGTATCCTAACACAAATAAATCACTAATGAAAACTGTATCTCCCAGCAAGTGATTACAATCATTATTCAGTCAAGCTGCTTGTGCTGACAACATGTGGGAGGATCTGTGGATTAATCAAATGAGCCGAGAAAATTATGCTGGACCCAAGAAGAGGATAAGAAAGTAATGAAGACTAACACGCTGCAATCTCGTGGAAGGATTAGAGAAATGATCACTAAACCTCACCTTCTTTGCTCAGTGAACCTGAATGTTTGCACACAAAGCAGAGTTGTTAAGATTACTTATACAGCAGGAGTTGCACCTTTGTAACAAACAGTAACCTTTGCATTTACTTATTAATATATTGCATTTAAGGTCTAAAAATAAAAACATTCCAAAATACAAACAAAAAAACAAACAAAAGGGTTTTACATGATTAGCAACAACATCATGACCAACCCTCTCAACACAAATCCTTAAGACTCCTAAAGGTCTGCTGTCATATCTGTTACCAGGCAGTTAGTGGGAGACCATCTAACTTCTCTAAGCGCCAGGATGTGGACATCAAAGACGAAAATCATTTGTTCAGCAAAAAAGAGCAAAAACAGACTAAAATCCACAGAATGTGGAGGCCAAGTCAACATTTTAAACCTATTTTTGTGCTCCTAAAACCATTTGTGAGTCATCAACAATGACTCAGTAACAACGTGATAAAACAAAAATCTGTCATAGAAACAGCGAATAATCTGCCACTGTAATTAGAAGACTGATGCTTTTTATTCAGCATGTGAGACTGGTGTGTCACATTTAAATATGAATAGTTAATTATTGTACGGGAAAAACCGGCATCTAACATTATAAATGTGCAAAACCAATTATTTTTACAATTACTTGCCTCAACCAGTCTGTGTGACTCTTACTTGATGGTATCATCCCAGATCTTAACCGTCCAGTCAGCGCTGCAAGAGATGAAGACCCTTGGATGGAAGTGGTTCCACTTCACAGTGTAGACTGCTGAGTTGTGGGCATTGTAGGTCTTCAAGAATTTACTAGAGTAATGAATGGAGCACTGCAGAATAAAAGCAAAGGCTTGATTGAAGCAGAGGAGCTGAAAAGTCGGCTTTTTCAAGGCATTGCTGAGTTACACATCTTATTTAAAGTCTGTTTACTGTTGCATGCAAAAACTACAGGACAAAATAAAAGATAAAAAACATTTGAACTACCTCAACGGCAAAAACAAACACGATCTGGTGAAAACTTTTTGTTTTCTTTAATTATAGTTTTAGGAAATAGCTTTCACTACATTCATCACATATAAGGAGCATCTTCTTACACATTCTGTTCCATATTTCTGTCATAGACATTTTATATAAAACAGCAATTTGTAAGCTGCAGCTTATAAGACCCTAGTTACTTGAAAAAGATGCTTTCACTGCCACAGAAAACATTACACGGAGAACTTCCTGCTATAACCGAGAAACGTGTTTCTAAAACTCATTTTGATCCAAATGTGTGAAAACAGATGGTTTGTCTGAGCACAGCTAGCAGAAAATTAAACCTAAAGGAGTGATGTATAAAACATTTGTGCTTGCTCGGCACTGATAAAATAATCATGACAACATAACAACAGTTACCGCAGGAATAAATAAAGTAGACGATCTAAGGAGAAACATGCTTTATCAGCGGTGGGGACAGCTGTTGGATTTCCAGACATTGTCAGATTGATTGTTGACCTGCAGCAGATTCTGAATCTGTCCTTTCTGTGATGTCAGTGCTAGTCAACCTTAGGCTGACAGATGAAGCTGCTTACATTGCATGTATTGTTCATGTCTCTTAGAAGGCTATGAAATTAACTGTTTTAGGTACAAAAGGAAAGCGTGAGTTGTTTCCATAGTGGAAGAACACAATGTGTTAGGTATGATGATTCAGGTTTGAAATCAGGCTCCATTCAAAACTGTACTGATTGATTCTAAACGTTCTGTAGACAAACCTGTTAGAATATGATATACCACAGAAACATTCAGAACGTTTTTCCTTGGCTGATTTATCCCTGCATCACAATGACTATCACCATGACTGCCAAAGTGAATCACATCAACATACTTCATGCAATCTCAGAGGTGCCATCCAGCTCAGTGACTATGTAACACTTGTCACATACCTTGTGTATTTTTCCTTGTTCTGTGCCAACTAGAAACAGATGGTCAGTCTGTTTATGGAAGTCAAGTGATGTCCCACCAGCTGTGGATGAGAAATATTGCTAATTAACATTAGTTAAATGAAGGAAAAAAATAATAACTGGGATCTGCCAAAGTGCAGAACTTTGAATAAGGAGATTTTTGCGCCTTACAAATGTTGACCAGTTGTTCGTCATCTGGTACGTTAGAAAGACCTCCGTTTACTGACAGTCTGATTGTTTCTGTAGAGATCAGCTCATGCTGCAGTTGAACAAACATACAACACATACAGTTTTGCAATTGCGTTCTTCAAATGTAAAATCATATGTTGCCTTGGCTAACCTTGATCAGTGTCCAGGACACAACTCGAGAATCCGCAGACACAGAAAAGAAGTTGTGGTTATTGTCTATGTCATCATTCTGCCAGCGCACCTGAATGAAAAACAATCAACCAACTTTGACAGATCATTCCCATTTCAGACCTGCTTGTTTAAAGAGGCCATTCACATTTATTTTAATACATTTGCAGTGGGCTACTGTAGGAATGAATGCCTTGTAAATCGTACCCTAGGGAAAAAAAAAGCTCGGGTGCGCCTGTTTCAGCACAGAGAATTCTGCTGGAGGACAAAAGTAGCTTCAGACAACGTTTTGGAGTCTTATTTCCTGATATTTGGACGTCTCGCTTCAGATTGGCTAACAGCAACGTGACTTTACCACTGACTATGTTTCCTTTGCAAATGTTGATGTTTTATTTGCACAAATACCACAAGCCTGAAGGAGTTGTGCCATGTGGTGGAGTTGCCAATGCTAATTGTTATCTTCTACTAGCCAGGATGGTCTCTGCTGATTGCTGGACACTAAACCAACAACGGCCTTCCCCGTCAGTCAGAATAGCTGAGTCGATGAATGTTAAGGAACAGTGTGACATAGATCTGTCAGACTTTTCAAATCCTAGCATTTCACCATATATTTTCTATCAGAAGCTAATGCAGGAGATAAGTGTAGGAGACTATTTTCATTTTCAGCCTGTATGAAAAACTCAGATCGATCATTTTCAAAAATAATAAGTAAAATATGGTTTCTTGGTGAAGGACCTATGTTAATAAATCTCGTGACTTTATATAACACATATGTAGATAGAAATGAAAAGCGAACAAGCTAGCTAACATTTAACTCATAAACAGAAACACAGCAGCCATTTTTTTCCTGTCATTACCTGCCATACAGGATTTGTGAGCAGGCTAGTCTTTGGAGTTCCCTTGCAAACAGGTTCCAGGCTCTTCTTCTTCAGATTGTAAACAGCCACACAGCCATCATAAAAGCCTACAACTGTCAAATAAAAATGTTGAGGGTGGATGTCGAGGCACTGGACGCCTGACGTTGTGGGGAAGACATATTCCGGGAAAGATGAGTTCTTCAGTGAGTAGAAGACAATCATCCCTCTTCCCTGTTTACAAAAGTCATCTAGCAGGCAGAAAGAGAATAGAGATTATGATAAAATAGATTAAGAATCAGATAATCAGAAAATGAATGACATTAGTGCCCGGCAATTATATTTAATGATTTGGTATTTTTAGCACTTACATGAGCCCATTCCAACAGCAAACAGGTCCTGATATTTGCTATTCCTGTCAAAAACAGATTGCTAACACACTCATCCTATTCCTCGCATGACTGCAAATAGTATAAATGCATTCCCAGTGACACAAAATCACCATTCAGAGGGTATATTTGCACAGATGATAATTGAAATTACCAGCAGAGGGCAGTGACAGACAATCCTCTGGTTTCTTCATGCTGAAACGTCCACAGAGGCAGAAGGGTGCCCTCCTGGCCCCTGAACTTATCAGAGGGGTCCTCGAAGTATTTAAAATCTGAAAAAGCACAAGAGAAGGGTGATCAGAATAGAAGAAAAAACAAATTGTTTACAGTTTCAATCAAAAAGAACTAAAATAATTTCACTTGGCTAATCAAAATAAAACAACCTTGTGCTATTTCATCAAATGTATTCTGGTGGACCATTCGCTCTAATATCTTGGTTTCTTTCGCCACTTCAGTGAGGTCAGTACTCTGTAACAGAAACAAAAAATATAGAGGGGTCCTTGTCAAAAACATGCAACGCTGCTATTGGTTTAGATTACATTTGAAGCAAACATGGTGAAATAGAAAACAGTACCTGGGTTTCTGTCACTAGTACCCCCTTCTTGCTTTTGTCAGTTTCTTTCTTCAATAGCGTTGCTTTCTGCTTCTCTTGCTTCTGCAGCTCCTCACAGTAAGCATCATAGATCTGCCACTGTCAAGAGATTACAGTAACGTTCACGGCTGTTAGAAATCAGGAAAGGCACCAGCATACAAAATATCACAACATAGCTCAGAGAGTCTAGTACCTGGTTGGCAGTGGCAGAGAAAACGCTGCGAGGAGGAGGTGCGGTCTGGCAGTTTATTTGCTGCAGAGGAAACATATAAATGTTTCAAAAACATCTAATGAAGCAAAGATGTCACAATGCTAAACAAAACAACAACATTTTATTAACCACTGTGAAATTGAAAACATCGGACTCATTCCTACCCTTGGAGGATTATTAAGTGTCTGGGTGGCCCTATCGGTGAAGTGGAAAAAATTTCCAAGCTTTACACCTTTCTTGTCAGCTTTGGATGCAACACTGTCTGGTCTGTCCTCTTCTTCAGCTTCTTCTACCTCCCCTCCATCCTCTACAGGAGTAGCCTGCGACAAGTCAAAGAATAAGGATGCAAGAAAAGTACTCTTGCTCAGGCTTGTTGGTACTTTGTTTAAACATAACAAAACTTTAAATATTGTAGAACATGAAAAATATGCCGCAAACCTTGCTACGCACAAGACAAAAGACCATTTTTTCAAATTTACCGGGGTTTTCATGCGATCCTCATCAGATTCTGCTGCTGTGTCTGTCTCTTCATTTTCTGCACTCATACAAAATTTTATAATTAATCAAAAGGCACATCTATATATATATATATATATATATATATATATATATATATATATATATATATATATATATATATATATATATATATATATATATATATATATATGCAATGTTTAATTTTTTTTTCATTTTGTGTTTCAACTTGAGGGTGACACCTAGTGGCTTTAACGATGCATTACACCACGGAAGAAAATTCATTACAAGTCACACAATTACAGTTGAAATTATTTTTGTCAAATTTTCCTTTAGTCAGAGCAAAACGGTGCACATAATGGGCAGATTAAAACTGTAAGATGCAGCTACATCACCTTTAATAAGACCCTGCTTCAACATCAGCCTTCGACCCTCTTCAGAGTCTTGATAAACGATGTTGCTCTCCATCTCAAAAAGAATAGCTGTGTGATCCACGCTGACTCGTTGATAGACTCCTTCCTGGGAGATTAATTTAATACATTAGAAATATACATATATAAATCTAACATGACTCACCTGGTTGTAACTTTCTTACCTTATAGTTAAATCGGACTATATTTTGTGGCGCGTGGGGGTTGTGTGTGTTCAAGACCTTTGTTATATTCTCTTTCAGCTCCTAGTCATTTTAATACAGAGATGTTAAAATTAATGGTAGAAAATGAAATAAGTGACAGGGTTATTCAAAAATTGAGAATGGGCTAAACTGATCCGCCATCAAATCAGAGCAACTTGCAAGAACTGTGTGTTTGTCATTAGCACATAGACGACTAAAGAAGCCATAAAGTCTTGGGTTCAAGGAGTCTGTAGATTCATAATGAATCAAGGCATGAAGTTATGTCTCAAAAAAGGTATGTTAGGCTATTTTCATAAATGCAAATATAACACAGTCATTTTACATAGGATTTTTCCGAGGTACACGGACTTCCTGTGATCCATGAATATTCTCTTTCTCTTACAGCTTCTGTGAGCTTCAGTTGATCTGAAGGCTTGCTTTTTTTCCCTCGATCCAACCCATCACCCTTGTCCATGGCCTTTTTCTCTTCCTGTAGTGGCAAACCGATAAGAAGCACTCAATTACTTAGCTGCTTTGAATAATAAAAAAAAGTACATATGCGATAGTCTTGTATTTTCCACATGTTCTTCTTAACTAGCTATTGTGTAACCTGAACACACCTTTTTCTTTGTTTGAGCTTTAGTTGATTCTGCACCAGGTAATTTCTGAGCATTAGAGACCTGAGTGAAAACAAATGAAAAGCAATCAAACAATCAATGTGAACAAATAAATAAAAGTTCTGGATACCTTTGAGCTAACAAGACACCTACTTTTCTGGGCTGCACTGTGGCATTTTTGTTCCGCTCGGACATGATGGAAATAGACTGGTTTTAAAAGCACTTGAGTTATTTTTCTCAACAGTTAAAAATACTTCTATAATATAAACTGTAAAGCAGACACGACACCCTTTTCTTCTTCTGCTGTGGACAGGTCGCAAATGTCGATGTTACTGGTTGCCAAGACAACCAGTCATCCCATCAACCCCAACGAAAGCGCATGCGCCAACAATAACAGTCAAATTTTGCACCTTTTTTGTTTTTGACAACAACGAGAATATTTCTCTCACGTTTGTTTTATTATTATTATTTTGGCTACCTCTAAAATCGGACTAAAATAGGTTAAAAGTGTTTGCAAAAATCTACTTATACGCTGCTTAACATTAACAATAAATGTTAAAAAATGAGCAATTTAACACAAACAAATCGCTTATTTCTTTAAAAAAATAACTGGAAACTTGGATTTTATTAGATATTTCATTTTAACGCACTTCCGTGTGATCTCGCTCGTGATTGGACAGAACTGTAATGAATATTCTACATACCCGGAAGCAGGGCGGTGCTGCTGTTTAGCTGTCGAGTCACCTCTGTCAAGCGGGATGGTGGAGGAAAATGAGCTACTACCATGTTGAGTAACGAAGGATTTCCCACAGCCAGGCATCTTTAACCGGCACAATTAGACTGAACTTGTCGTTAATTTTGAGTGACTGAAACGCTTCAGAATTGCTGAGTGAAAAATGATGGAAGAAATCGACAGGTTCCAAGTGCCTCCTGTGAACGGGGAGACGCAGCCTTTGGTAAGAGAGTAAATACAAAAAACACGATCTTTTTTTGTTGCAAACAATAGCATACTGAATGTAAATGCACTGTTTATGTATCGTTTTTGTGGTTATTCGTCGCGGCGGTGTCGCATCATAAGCCGCTCGTGAGCTAACGGTTGTTATTTGTGGCTGTGGGACAGGCTGCATCATCTGGGATGGGTGTAGCGACCAACTAAAAATGAAATCATGGCGACAATTTTATAATAAATATAATAATATAAATATTACGAACAACAATATGCATCATTACCACTGTTTAGCCAAAATCGTGAGTGTGTAAAACCCACGCCAGTATGAGCTGTAATCATTGTTTTACATTTGGTGACGTGTTTTTTGGTGGGCTTCGGGGTGAATGTCAGATCATAAAATTCTATAATGCGATAGTTGTGGGTGAAAAAAGGGTGAAAATGTTTTATTACATTAGTACACAATGTTTAGCTTATACACCAAGTTATGTATATTGCTCATTACTGCTCATAAAGGAATGCGTTCTGTTTTATTTAAACAAGTAATTCAACTTAATGAGTTCATTCATTTAACTTTTGGTTGCACCTAAATTTGAGCAGTATTTAGCTTTGATAAATAATTCCTTCAGTTGTTTATAAACCTTTCACTGTGATACTGTTTTCCTTCAGATAATTAGACAAAAACAGATTTTTAGGTTCTCCTCTAGGTCAGGGGTATCCAAGGTTTTGATGACGAGGGCCAAAATCATCACGTTAACAATTCTGTGGGCTTCAAAATATAGTTTTTTTGTTTTTATTCAAAAAATGAATTGATGGTGATTGTTTTTCTTCACAAAATAAGTGTAGTGCATATAATCTGAATAAAAATGCAAGTGGACTATGCGTGATAACAGTGATTAATATAGCGATGACAATAAGACTTGCTATAAATAAACAAATCCTTAACTCAAGAATGAAAAATCAAAAACAAAGATATTAACAAATGACTAAAAATATTATAAAAATGGGAAAAAAATGATGTGAGGAAAGGGAAAAAGAAAATGAGCAGGAAAGGCTGGATCGTGGGAAAGCAGAAACAGCAGAAAGAGTAGAACGAAGCTAACACAGGTGTTCTCTAGCCAACCCAATTAAGTGCCGTCTGCCTAGAGGGTGGGCATCTAACCCACTGGATCAAATGGGTGAAGAGCTTTGATTTGTTAAAAACTTCATGCTTCCGTTTGATTGAAAAAATGCATTATGTGTAGCAAACATTTGAGCTGACCATTCATTAGTTATTAATTTTTTTTCTTTACAATATGCATATTATGTATGTTAACTCATTCACTGCCAGCCGTTTCCTGATCGCTAAAGCCCTTCACTGCCAGCGTTTCTCACCGTTTTTACTTTTTTTTAAGAGTCACAGAACATTGTGCGCTAGGATGATGTCGACGCCAAAACAACCAAAACAAAGCTGAGACTCACCTCTTACGCCAGGAAGAATACACGTGTTTTGTTTCAGTGTTTTCCATTCTTTCATAATCCGTTGTTGAATTGTGATTGGCAGAAGCTTTTCCGGTTCGCGCCTCACTTTTTTTAAGCAGCGGCCCAAAACGATCTCCTAACACATGGATTTACTGCTTCCTGATTACGTGACGTGTGACGTATGTGGATGAAGATCGGCTTTAGAGTGGTGATGTTTGTTCTCACGCTGCGGAGGCTTGTTCCGATGCTCACACAGTAAAAAAAAAATGCAAATGGTGACTTTAGTCATCAATGGCAGTGAATGAGTTAATATTGCAACAATGATACATTTGTGTGGACCACATAAATTCACTCCAAGGACCACTAATGGCCCCCCAGGCCACATTTTGAACATGCCTTCTCTGCTTTGTGACAAAGAGACGTTTAAAAAAGTACTGAACCTCTTATTTTCTTATGCAACAGCAAACACCATTTTCCCTGTGAAGATTTGACACATTTACTCATGTGTTTCATCAGTTGAATTTAATGTGAGATAATTGAATGTGGCTGTAGTATGTCAGTGGTCTGCGCCTTCTCTTTAAAGTTATATAACTTTAGTTTATCAAACAGCCCTGTGTGTCTTTATAGAGTAGCTTTCTACCATGTTATCTAATTAGAACTCCAGGTGCAGACACACCCTGTATTTTGTTGCTGTTACCTTCATTGGGAATCCTGAACCACACAAATGCAGTTAGCACCTGCCAAATTTGTACCAATGGAACATCGAGTGATGTTTTTAAGATCATTGGCTAATATGCATTTGTTGTCATTGATTAATTGTAAAAAATAAAAAAAACAACATAAAAATAATCAGAGAATTGTTTACTTGTTTCTATTGCCACACATAGAGATAGCATTCAGTTAGTGTAATGACCACCTGATCAGTAAGTCTACACTGCTATGGGCTCGTCCATGGTCGTGGTGGATAATCCCACCAATCGCATGGCATTTATGCTGCATCAGCATACTTCAAAAGCAGGAAAGGAGGAGGACAGGGAGACAAAACAGATGCTTTGAGTTTTTTTCTTTAGTAAATTTTCAAATGTGATCATGGATGCATGTAAAGTCCTTTTTTTAGTCTGCCTTCAGCACATGGTCTTTTAGCAAACAGGAGAAAAATCAGCATTTTTCAACCCACTCCTGTATGTTTAAAATGTTTTTTTAGACCTCAATTTCATTTAGTCTAATGTGTGAGGAATTCTAAATTACATTTATTTGGGTCAACCTTTGCACAAGTAAAACTTTAAGGTTCACTTCATTTTATCTTGGTGTTCCCATCTCTTCATAATTAAGTCTTATTTTAAGAAGTGGCAGGAAATTCAGACACAAACAGCTAAATCCTCTTTTTCATAGGTACCTCTTATGTGGAAATTCAAACGTTTTTATTTGAAAGATAACGTGACTCTGCATCATCACAGTCTCTTCCTGAAGGGAAGCGAAAAGAAGATGATAAAAAACACTTTGGGTAAGCCTACTGATCTAAAGGAAGGGCCTGTCACAGAACAGAAAATGCTTCTGCTTTTTAGGTTGGGAATAACTTGCGTGTGTTGTGATTTCATAAGCATTACTGGTGCTTGTGTCATATTCACAGTTGGAGCTTTCATAAATTATTCCAGCTAAGGGAGGACAGGTCCTCATCAACCGATGAAAATGAGCCCATTGATGAAGGTGATATTGGTTATTCGTCTCATGTTCTTACAGAAAAGTAAAAAGATGTGAGGAGGTGACTTTTCTGTCACAGGATGAGATTAATTTCAAAGGCTGGCTGCTGAGAATGGATGTCAAAGAACAAAAACCCAAGTTCAGACTAGAAAAATGTCTCACACATGATATTTTTCACCTCTGACTCATCTTTATCACGGAGCTACAGCTGTCATGTGGACTAATCCCACTCATGTCTTTTCTTTAATGAAAGTAGCTTCATCTCTTTCTCTGGTCTGTTCTAATATTACATTCTAGAAATAGATTTTCTTTAAGTACTTCAACAAGCTGTCTGTCATCCTCTCAGTGTGTTTATTTGTTATGTTCCTCTCCCAGGATTCCTTCCTTTTCATGCCCCTTCAACCTGCCTCCTACACCTTATGTTGACAAGTCGACATCTCACTTTGCTACCTCTTCCCCAAAAAACTCCTAAACATGTCAAGTCGTGTATTTGGCTTGTGAGCGATTCATGTTAGCCAGATCACGGATTTCAAGCGCTTGCACGCATTGATTTGTGATCAATCTAACCTCGGATCAACAACGAACAATTCCTTTCTGGTGTTTGACATTTGTCTGATATGAGAAAATTAGGCTTAAAATATTGCTGTGGGTTCCATCCTTTGGCTTCATCTGACAAAATTGTTACTGCAACCAAAAGCACGAGGCGTAGTTGTAATCTGATTGTGTTCTTGGCAGTTAGTTTTTAATTGTACTACATGACAATTTGTATGCATAATAAGCTCTACACTGTTCCTGCTTAATACTCATGAATGTTTCATCAGGCCTCGTGAGACTAGAAAAGTTCTGTTGGTTTCTGAAACTGGTCTATGGGTGCAGGATTTCTCATTACTACAGCATTAAGAAGGTTTTGATGTCTCTGGCTGTGAGTCTTAAAACAAAATCCATATTTTAATGACTGTTTTATGCATCCAGATGTATATATTATAGTTTAAAATATTAATATATGCTCACCTGCCACTTTAATAGGTACACAATGCTAGCACCAGCATGGACCATCCTCTGATGCTAGAACTCCTTTAATATTTGTGTCATAGGTTCAATTTGGTGGTGTTGGGAATATAGTTTTGACAGCTGCACATCCATGAGAGGATTCCCCCACTATACCACATCCCAAAGGTTCAGGACTGGATTGAGATCTGGTGACAATGAAGGTCGTTGGAGTCCAGTGAACTCATCGTTATGTTCAACACACTAGTTTGAGATGATCTGAGCTTTGTGACATGATGCATTGTTCTACTAGAAGTAGTCATCAGATAATGGGTCCACTGTGCTTATAAAGAAGAAGAAGAAGAAAGAAGAAAATGTCATTTCTATAGCGCCTCTCAAGATAAAAATCACGAGGCGCTTCACAAAAACAAAAACAAAAAATATAAAAATTGTAAAAATATAAAAAAGCATTTCGAAAATGTTTAAAATATATTTAAAATGAGCAAGAATAAGCTGTTGCGATTTAAAAGAAAAAATGTTAAAAAAGAGAGAGAGTGAATAGGAAAGAGGGAAATCAGTGGATCCTGAGGAAGGTGGAATAGGTGGCGAGAGCAGAATAAAGAGAGAGTGGTGAAGAAGGTCATCCAAAAGCCAGCTTGAACAAGTGAGTCTTCAGCTGCTTTTTGAAGGAGACCACTGAGTCCACTGATCTCGGGCTCAGGGGGAGAGAGTTCCAAAGTCTGGGGGCCACAGCAGCAAATGGTCTGTCACCTTTGGTCTTTAGCCTGGTGCGCTGCACAACCAGTAGGCTTTGATCACTGGACCTCAGGAACCTGCTGGGGGTGTAGGGACTAAGAAGATCACCAATGTAAGATGGTGCTTGTCCATGTAAGGCCCTATAGACCAGAACCAGGATCTTGAAATGAACCCTGAAGTTGACAGGCAGCCAGTGAAGCTGGAGGAGAAGCGGGGTGATGTGAGTATATTTGGAGGACTTGGTCAGAAGCCGAGCACAGGCATTCTGAACCACCTGTAGACGGTTCAGGAAGGTTCTGCTCAGACACGTGAAAAGAGAGTTACAGTAGTCTAAAGCCTGATTTATGCTTCTCCGTCTGCGTCAGTGCGGAGACACGCAACGCCATTATCCGTCCTTGCGTAGGGCTCCGGCAGGCACGCAAGTACGTACGGAGTCGAGCCCACTTTTTTAAACATCCGTCGAACGAGACGGATTACGCAAGCTTGTGATTGGTCAGGACGCCGCTGTTGTTTACAGCGCCGCCATTGCAAAGAGAGCAGATGATAACTAGCGACAGACACGGAGAAGATTGAAGAATACCTCGCGAAAAAACTCTAAAAATATGAACGTTTCATCCTCCCGTGACTGGAGGAGTGAAAAGATGTGCAGCAAGCGTTTTATTTGTGGACGGAAATGACAGGAAACGTGGGTTTAGAGGTGGGGAGTGCATGAAGCGGTGGGAGAATGAGAGACAAATATGTCCGTGTTAAAAAGTCTCTTATAAACACAAAAAACACAATATAAACACACGATCTTGGACCGATACATGACAGGATACCACAGAACAGCGCTACGCCCTCTGTTGTCCTGCTGGGCAATTGCTTTGCAACACTCTCCAGGAGACGGAGAAGTAAAAGAGCAAAACGCTTCCGTCAATACGTGCGTGTCTGTCCCTTGCGGAGCTGACGGAGAAGCATAAACCAGGCTTAAGCGTGAGGAGATGAACGTGTGGAGAACTGTCTCAAGTTCAGAGCGGGACAGAATGGGACTCAGCTTAGCAATGTTCCTGAGATGGAAGAAGGAAGAGCGAACAAGAGAACTGACATGAGAATCCAGGGTGAGAGCTGGGTCAAAGGTCACGCCAATATTCCTGACGGAAGATTTGGTGTGGGAAGCAAGCTGACGAAGAGAGTCTCTGACTTTGGGAACCAGCTTGTCTGGGGCACAGATGAGGATCTCAGTCTTATCTTCATTCAGCTGAAGAAAGCTCCCAGCCATCCAGGTTTTGATAGAGTCCAAGCAGGTGTGTAACAGCTGCAGCTTAGACATCTCATGGGGCTTAAAGGAGACGTACAGTTGGATGTCATCTGCATAAAGATGGTAGGAGATTCCCTTGAAGGAGCTCAGGATGTGCTGAAGAGGGAGCAGTTAGAGGTGGAAAAGCAGAGGCCCCAGCACAGAACCTTGTGGGACACCATGGGTAAGAGAGGTGGTGGAGGACCTAAAGTTGGAGACGGCCACAGAAAAGGAGAATGTAAAGAGGATGGATTTGGTCAACAACACTCCAAAAGAAAATATCCAAGATGATCTCCTCCACACCATTACACAGTCATCACTGCCAGCATTAACATCAACCACTGATGCAGAGCAGGCTGGATCCATGATTGTAGCCTCCGCTTCCTGTTGCTGGCAGACAGGAGATGACCTGGGGCATCTTTTATCAACTGTACCTATGCACAGATCTGTGCGTATGTTGTGAACAAATGTATGCATTGTGTGGTATTCATCATTTTGTACTTGTGCATGAAATTGTTCCTAAGTATAAGAAAATCTCAGACCTTATGTACAAACAGCATCTAGTGATAGAACAGGGGAACCGCAATACTGAAGGTCTCAGTCCTCCACACATGTTCACCATACACAATTATTTTCCCCATGAAATAATTATTTCGGTAGAAAAAACAGCTGTGTCACATAATTGGTGCTAAAACCTACAAAAGACACCTGTGACCGACGACAATCTGACATTGTAGCATGACCTTTTGATCTTTTATTATTGGAGGATTTGGCTGAGGAAACACTCAGTAGGGAACGCATCCTCCGTAAGCGCACTGATCTGATTCCCGAAAGAGATCCTTCTAGAGCTATGCCGAGATTGGGACCCTTTGTGGAGCGACAGGCAAATCGCACAAATCCAATTCCAGTCCATGTTCATTTTTACAACTATGTGAATCCCCCAGAACCTCCTCTGTTCCCTGATCATACACACATTCCCAAGGTAACCAGACTGCATGACAACTCAGAAGAGGCTGCAGTGTCAGACAACACTTACAAACAGAACAACTCCTTAAATGTAAAATGTAAATGACAACCTGTTACTCTATGGTTAATTGAGGGCGTTTCTGTATCTGAGTTACTCTGAACAGACACAAGCATCTGGGTACGCACACAGGTGGGATTTATCAGACGATTGCGGAGGAACATGCGTTTGCACAAGGCATTCATTTATAGACCACTGCAAATCTATTGAAATGAGTGAATGAGAGCTTCAAACGTCATTCAGTCGTCTTTGCAACATCAGAATGATGTAAGTTGCTGCCATGTGATTGGCTGGTTAGATATTTGCGTTGACAAGACATTGAACAGGTGTATCTAATAAAGTGGCCAGTGAGTGTATATTTAGTTAACATTTTATTTCTCATACAGAAAAACGTTTTTTTTTAAAATCTGATGCTGAGTGTCACATAGACACACAGCTGTTAAACCCTGGCAGTCTACGCTCATGTGACTTGTTGGGTTTCTTCAACAAGAAGAGGCCTGTGGGATCCTTATAAAGTGGGGCTCTGTTTGTGAATTGGGCCAAGTGTGGCCCAGCTCTCCCCTCTTCAGTCTGGGGCTCCAGCAGTTTTTGTATGACCTCTTTCTAACACCATTGCCACTCACTCAGTGGCGTAAGAGATCATGCCGCTAGCATCCAGGCTAAACACTTGGCTCTATTGTTAGTGGGACTTAAAACTACTACAGCTGGTTAGTCACCCTGCCAGAGTGCTGAACACAAATGGGCTTTACAGCACAGCTGTTGTCTACTGCAGTCCTGAGTGGGTACATTTTGGATCTCAGAGGTTATGATTGTTTGTGGTATACATTTATTTTTATTTATTTAACACACTTTAAAGAAAAATCCCACCAAACAAAGAAAAAAAACATGACAAAAAGATGCACTTGAAAGATCTGACAGCTAAATTATAATTTGATCATCTAAAGATAACTTTATACTAATGTGACATGGCTAAAAGTCAACATTCAATGCCCAGGATTTTCAGGTCCAGGTGAAGACTGCATCGAAAATCATAAAATTGTATTTCAGTGTTTTTGGTTCAGATCAACCTCTAAATAAAGTCATCTGAAACAGTTGTTAGTTATTCTTTCTCATTCATACAAGCACGAATTTTGCCCTGCCTTCTAAATGATACGATCTTCCTACTGAAGTCATTTATATTGTGGTGTTTTAAAAAGCCAAGGCGAGGAAAGACGGTAAAAAAGGGAATCCAACTATATTTTCTCTCTATATTTTATTTCCAGACATACTTCCTCCTGTAAAAACACATTATAATACTTTTTGACTCACGTCTTGGACCTCCAGGCTCACGTAGAACTCTTCTCTGCATTTATAGCAACACTGTGTTCATGTTTTGTTTATGAGAGTGATCACCCTATTAGTAGATTAGGTTGAATCACTGTCTGCGTGACTTTAAAACTGCCTAAAAATTACCCAGGCTTTCCACCAGATCGTAAGCATTGTGCAACGTCCACAAAGCTTAGTACACAGCTAATACACACTGTTCTAGTCAATGTTGTCTCCACTAGCTGCAATGCATCAAGTCTTGGATGCATCCCAGAAGCGAAGTGTTGCGTTGCTCCACTACATTTTTGCTTCGGGTCTAATTTAATGAGCTACGCTTCCACAAAGCATCAAGCTCAGCAGTTCAGATTGGGCCTAACATGAAACCAAATATAGGAGCTGTGTAAAACTCAACGAGTCGGAAGAAGATACATTTAGGAGCAATTTTCTACATTTTAAAACCGTTTAAACCTCAAAAACAAATTTCTCTGTTATAGATTTTTACATCACACAGTTCAGTGGGATGGGAAGTGTGGTTAATGCTATTGCTACATGTGGCAACTTGTGATCTTCATGGAACAATCACATTTGCTGCTGTCTTCAGTGTGATTTCTCAGAAATTTGTGTAAAACATGATTGGAAGCAAAAGTGACACAATGTAGGATTTATAAGTGGAACACTGGATATCAATGCAGTGAAGGTAATTGAGGTTTGAACTCTTTTAGATGGCCTTGGTCTGAGTATATGTTAGCATGACCCCTTTCAAAAACTTGAACAGCCCCTTTACATTTTGATTTATTGTTTTTGTACCATTGTGCATTAAAATACTTAAATAGTTTCCATTTTGTTTAATTTCAGTCTTGTTGAAATCTTCACGTGTTATAGTTCATTTCCGTGTTCAAAGCTTCTAGACTAAAACTCTACGTTTCTTTCTTTAGGACCCAGCAGCATCATCTACTTTAGAAACCCAGCCTGACACTAAAGGAGAGAGTGTGGCCCTGAACTACAAGCCCTCACCACTGCAGGTCCAAATAGGTATTCTCATTAAGTCAATCTAATTCAGCAGGTGACATTTTATATATCAGATATTAGATCAAGTGGCACAGGACTTGAAAGGTGCGTAACAAACCAGGGGAATGGAGTGCAGTGCAGCTTTGCTTTAATGCAAAGTTAAAGGTGTTAGAAATAGGAGAAAACAAGTTTTGTTGCATCATATTTATTGTATATAAGAGATTTTAAGTTTTATAGCAATGAGATTTAGAGTAGTTTTGGTTGTGGGACCACTTCACTGGAGGCGTCAGCAGCACGGACCAACAGCGGTACGATTTACTCTCGTGCTTTGCGGTGTGTCGATCCACACTGGGAGAGTCTTGGCTATGAAGTTGCTTCTTCATTGTCCTCCTCGTCTGACTCACGAGATTTGCGAGATCATTCAATCCCTCGAGACGAAAAGTCATGGTTTACGCCGTCCGCCATTAAACCAAAAAGAAAAAGAAGAAGGAGATCACGTTTGATATCGTTGATGTCATAAAGATGTGCCTTCACAGCCAGGATTTAAGCCATGAAAAACACAGCTGGACTCTTCGAAAGATGCTGGGAGTGAATAAGTCGTTCAGTCACATGTATTGATGTAATCTACATAGGTAAGAAATAGTTTATCTGCAATAGTTTTATTTTGAAAATCACAGGATGTTTCATGCGAAAACTGTATGTGATTTCCTGTATAGCCCTATGTTCACTGCGGAAATTGAAGTGTCCCGAACGTGGCTCGCAGGAAAAATCGAATTTAAACCGATCTTAACTTATTTCCATCATTAGCTTAATATTTATTTTGGTTTAAAGGCATCAAACGGCATTTGTCAGGAGAATGTGATTCAGCTGCTGTTGGAGACAAATTAAACATGGCATGTTTTCATATTTCTTGTAGTAGTTGTCAGGGCAGCAGCAGCTCAGGAGGTAGTGCAGGTTGTCCAGTAGTCAGAAGTTTGTAGGATAGATCCTGGCAGAGAATACTGCTGTTGTGTCCTTGGGCAAGACGCCTAACCCACCTTGCCTGCTGGTGGTGGTCAGAGGGACCTCTTGTCAGTGTGCCCCTGGGCAGCTGTGGCTGCATTGTAGCGCATCACCACCAGCATGTGAATGTGTGGGTGCATGGGTGAATGGTTGGTTAGTTGTAAAGCATTTTGGGGGGTTGTAGAACCCTAGAAGGCTCTATATAAATACAGACCATTTCGCTGAAGTATGCATGACAGGAGGATTGTTATGTTACCAACCTAACATGATTTATTATTTGTTTTAGTTAGAGGGGGACCCCACATAAATCGGTATTGGAAGTTAAGAGTTCCATATATTGGATATTGGTAAAAGCCAACATTGAGCGTTCCTAATGTTTATAGTTTATTCTGCATATTCTCCGATACAAACCCAAGTAGGACTAGTGATGTGCTGAGCTGATGCGTGTACTGATGAGCTCACATCCTGTGTTGCCCAGAGAAACAGAGGGACCTCGCCAGGAAGGCTTCAGTGAAGAATGGCACCGTGGGAAGTCCCGTCAATCAGCAGCCCAAAAAGAATGCCAGGACAAGGTAGCACCTTCTATCGCTTCATTTTCTTTTTCTTATTTGACCCATTCAGCCACAAATGTTAGACATTGTGTTCATTAGCATTACACGCTATACTTTTTTTGCATCTGTTGTTCGCTTCTCAGGGCAGTTAGGTCGACCAACTCAAATGCAAATCATAACATGAGTGCTGGTGTGTGTGTTCGGCTTTTTAAGCTGTGAATTGCCTCCAGTTGGCTTTGAGACACAGTTGATCACCTAATGTCAGAAACAAACATTCGGGAGGCAACAAGGTTTCCCTGAGAGAGAAATAAAGATGTTTCGTGGACATGAACGTTGATAAAGGAGTCACAGCCATTGAGCATAAACAGCCCAGCCTGCAGCATTGACAAGTAGCTCAACATGTGTTTAATCCTGCTCACCTAGTAGATTAATAAAATAAAGGAAAAGGCTGCCCACTGGTCTGAAGGTGAAAGATAATTCAGCTCCCATTGCATACTCAAGGCTACCGGTTAGGTTTGAGGGAATAAAAGTCACCCTTTTAGCTATGAAAACATGACTTAAACTTTGGTGGCCATTTTTATAGGTGTTTTTCATAGAACTTTGTTGCAATTGTTGCAAAATTTTTCCTTCTGATTCAGAATATGACTGTTTTTTTTTTAAAAGGTTGGTGGTGCCGAACAAAGGCTATTCCTCTTTAGACCAGAGCCCAGATGAGAAGCCTCTGGTTGCACTGGACACTGACAGGTAATCTAAGAACTTTCATCAAAGCTACCTCTGCATATTATAGAAAAATAAATACTTAAGGCACAAGAAAGGTTACCTTAGAGAGCAGTTGGTGTCATTTTGTGCACTGTTCTTGTTATTTTGGCACAGTTATCTAGTTAATAACTTGACAGTGTTCATAAGTGATCCTACAAAGGGGGAAAAGCCTCTCCTCAAAGCTTAGGATTAGAGCACAGCAGGGTGAGGATTTAGCCAGCCAAAAGCATCTCAGAGTGATCACCCACTCCTACCCCTTTATACCAGCAGGTCTGCATTTTAAACAGATGAGTCCCACCATTTTTGCCCCCATATGTGGCTTCATGAGGCAAACCTCGTTTAAAAGGAGACCTCTATCAGGCTAGATAGCTTACATCATACTCTCACTGACACCCATTTGTTTATTGTCTACATTTCAGATCTGTGTGCTAGCCCCATTCACAATATCTCATTGTTGCTCTTTAAATTGTAGAAAAGGCAGCATATTAGTGTATAAAAAAGCTGCAGTGCCATACTATTCCTTGTCAAAAATCATATACATTTATCTATACCATCCTCAGAAAGCTGGTAGTATTTGTGTTTCTTGGGGAATAATAAGAAAAAGGAACATCTGCTGGACTCGCAGGGTGTGTTTTTCAACTATCATAGATAAGTATTTCATTGTAAATGAAGTCATGATGAAAACTGGTGGACGTGAGTGTAAGTTGCAGGTCTTTGGCAATCTAGTGTTATACCAGTGACAGCTTATTGAGCACTCGCACTACTAAATCCAGCCTCAGACATCTTCATAGCGTCAGAAAATCTATGACCAGTCTGTAATTGACCAATGAAAATAAACACAGGGAGTGACGTGATAAAAAAGTATTAAAATTTCATTGGAGACTATACGTGAGAACATGTAGAAACGCCTTCTTTGGTATGTTCTTACTGTGTTGCTTTTCTAACTGCATTGTTGGCTCTTTTTTAAAACACAGAAAAGGTTTCTTTTGTACGTTGCTGCTGACAGTTTCGTTCACGGCTGCGTACTTCCTCAGAGCTGACGCTGATGGTAGCGTCACTTCCTACTCCGTTTGTCCGCAGGCAGCAGAGGACGTTGTCGCCCTCTGCTGCCCGCTCTCCCCTCTCTGATGATGCAGTCCCATGCACGATCCAATGTGTAGACCCCATCGTCCCTGTTCATGGTCTCACATCCACGTCTCCTTATCTCGATAGCTTCTTTTATCCATCTTTTGTATTTCTGTTGTTCGGTGTTTATGATCCTTGTGTTGTCCGAGTCCATTACATGGTTTTCTCTTATGCAGTGCTCTGTTACAGCTGACTTCTTTGTTGTACTTTCTGCTTCTCCTTTTGCTGCTCTTGTGTGTCTTTGACTTGTTTCTTTCTCACACTCCTTTCTGTGTTCTATTGTTCGTGTGTTGAGTTGGCGTCCGGTTTCTCCTATGTATGTTTTATTGCAGAGTTTGCGTGGGATTTTGTAAACGACTCCACATTTAAGCCCTGCTGGTACTTTGTCTTTTGGGTGTACTAGTCTATTTCTAACTGTTGCGTATGGTTTTATTGGTGTGTGTGTATGTTGTGTTTTTTCATTGTTGCTCTTATTTTTTATGTTATGCCTTTGATGTATGGTAGGGTTATCATTGGATTTTGTCTTTCTGGGTTTCTGGTTCTTTGCTTCGGTTGTTCTTTTCTTTCTGTTGTTGTTTGTTGTTTTCCTTTGTTTATCACCCATGTCGGATATCCGCAGGTCTTTAAAATGTGTTAAATGTGTTTGTCCTCTTGTTTACGATCTCTGTCTTCTGTTATCATGTTTGCTCGGTGATATAATGTTCTGATTACTGACATTTTCTGATGTCCATAATAAATATTGGTCTGTGTGTTGGTTTCCTATATGTGTTTATGTTTAAGGTCCCGTCGGTCTACCGACATATCAGTCACATATAAAGTTCACATATGAGTCAGAAACAGATGGCAGTATAGCATTTATGGACATGAAAATAACCAGGCGGACCGACGGGACCCTAAACATAAACACATATAGGAAGCCAACACACAGACCAAGCAGCTCAGAGGAAGTCTGCTGCCGCAAACAAAACTGTCAACAGCAAGGTAAAAAAATAAACTTTTTCTCTGTTTTAAAAAAAGAACCAACAATGCAGTATGTAGCCACTCCTTTCTGGAGGACAGTTTGGAGTTTAATAAAAGAAGTGTTGATGGTGGTGCTTTTTCCCCCTTCCATCGTTGCAGTCTTGTGTTTTTGTCGACTTTCAATGACATGTCCTTTTTGGAGAGTATGCGTGCGACATTGGCATGTGATGCAGTTTGGTTCATTGAAATGTCGGGCCACTTCTAGAGATCTTTCAGTTTGACATGAAGCACTGCTTTGTGACAGCCAAAAACTGCAGTGTGACACGGGCTTAACAAAAGAGGGCAGACGTGTCAGGAAAAGTCTCATTCATTCTTTGTTTTAGATGAATCTGACATGTTTTTCAACATGATTTGTTGTAAATTTGTTAAGATCCTATTGCTGATTCATAAAACACCTTATAGAACATAACACCAGGGAGACCTTCACATCCAGAGAACGGCCAACACAACTCTAAGTAAATAAAGAGACTGTAGCATGACACCTGATGTCTGGAATAGACTTCAAGGATTATTTACTTTTATATATGGAGTGAAAATAAGAACTTGCTTTCAGGAAGGTGTCAGGTGTCACCTATTGAATCCGATGTCTCCTTGAGGAAGAGCTTCATGGCTCTTTTTTGGTTAACATCTCAGACGATGGTTTACTAGTTGTGTTTGTACATGTGTGCTTTCACAGTGAATCTGATGCTGAGGAGATGGAAAAATATAAATACTAATAAATATAAAAAATGAATATTCAGCAGCCTGGAATTCCCCAACAGAAACATTGTTTGTCACTACAATACAGGTGGCATAAATCCGATGACCTGCTTGGATCTGTGCTAACAAGCAGCTGGGATATGTTTTAATTATTTATCAAGTCTTCATAAGCAGAACGATCTAGCAGAAATTAGACCTTCTTACCCAAGGGTGTTAAAAATAAATCATTTAGCCCACTAAAATGACCCCAGACCTCTTCTAAAAGCCATATGTGTTCCTAAATTGCACAGTTGCAACCTGTGGAATGGGAAAGGATTTACCACTCAGCTTGTGAATGTTGACTCAGATGTTTTTTTTTTTGTTGATAATGAAAATAATCCTATCTTTGCCACCCAGAAAGTAAACAACCCTGACAGAGAATATTAATTTAAAGCAGAATGTCAGTTTCACAAACCAGTGTTGCAGGGTTTAAATGTTCTCCTAACTACTGGAGCAAGAAGCATCGGTTTGATACCAAACATGTTTATTTAAAACATTCAAACCTCATGAATTAGCTGAAGTTCCCTTTTATGAATTCATCTGCTCCCTTTGTGCTTTTAATGCATAGGCGGGCTCATCTTTATGGCTCTGATGTCAAATGTCCCCCTGTCTTTCAGTGACGATGACTTCGACATGTCCAGATACTCTTCATCAGGATACTCCTCAGCCGAGGTGAGATGTCTGAGGGACCAGGTATATACTTACTCATACTTTGTTTCATCTGAGTGTGCCACAGACATCAACATGAGATCACTCTTGTTCTTTGTCACGTCGGGTCATTGTGCACTCATCCTGGCTCCTCCAAATGACCTTTCCATAATTACTTTCCTTCATTTTTTCTTCACGTAGCACAATTAGTTTTTCTACGTCCACCTTTGACTCATCACCTTCAACTCTGTCAATGTTTTGCTCCTAATAAATAATATGAGCTAAAGTTTGTTATTTATCATCAGTGACCTTATTTAAGAGTCAATGCTGCAACTGTCTCAGTTAAAACTTTATGTTCTGCTTTTCTTTTGACTTTGGCAGCAAATCAACCAGGACCTGAACATCCAGCTCCTGAAGGACGGGTACCGGCTCGATGAGATTCCAGATGACGAGGACCTGGATCTGATCCCACCTAAAGCAGTCAACCCCACCTGCATGTGCTGCCAGGCTGCTCCCTCTACAGCCTGTCAAATCCAGTAGTAACCCCACTCCCTCACACACCCACCTCTCTCCTATAAAGGTTCTTCCTGCCACTTGTACTAAGTTCAGCTGTTGACCAGAGTGGCATAAAGGAAGCAAAGAAGAAATAAACTGTCAGCTGGAAAGGACACAAAGGGAGAATAAAAACAAGGGTTTCTAAACTAAGAAAAAGAGAAACTGAATGTGTACTGTACCTGTGCATGTTCCTCCTATGGCAGGATCTGTGTGTCTTACTTCGGTGTCGGTTCAGCAGGGATTCAACTCGCGGCAGAAAATGTTACCTCTGAGAAAACCATGTTATTTCTGCTTGCCTTTGTTAGAATTTCATCATGTTTTATGACGTTTCTGGTACGTGAGGATCATAAAGGAGTGTATGACATCGTTGGAGAAGAGGAACAGAAACAGACTGTCCAAGCAGTCTTCTACTAGTGTGTATGGGCAGTCTGTACATGTGTGATGGACTAAAGATGAGTGGAAGTTTGTTTATTTTTTTGTTCTATTTTCTCTTTTTCCCCAGCTTGTCTGCTTCGTCTTCCCTTGGATATATGTGTCAGACTTTAAAATGACGAGTCACCTCTGTGTGTGCGTGTCTAGTCATGCTTGGGGAGAATGGTGATGAAACGTCAAATTGCTTATAAAACACTAGTGCTTACACTCCACACTAAGGTAGTAATAGCTCTTAGACTGAGATTGTGCTCCTGGAACCTGTTTTCTATTTAGTTGAAAGAAGCTGCATGTTGCCTGTTTACACTGTGTCCCGATGACAGCTGTGCAGATGTTTTATCAGTTCCTACAGACCCATAGCCAAACCTTTTGGATTAGGGGCCATCATGTGTTTCACTAACTTTAGGTTCACTTATTTAGGGTAAACGTGAGCTCTTAAATTGCCATGTAGTTAGTCTATTTTATAGCTTTTTCATGATGGTACATGAAGGGACAAATAGATGAAGAGGGAGCTGACATTTACAGTTGCAGTTGTCAAATGAAGAAAATCTCTAAACTGATGACAAATTGCTTGAAATGTTTTATTTAATTTTTTTTTTTTTTTGCAAATGGGACTTCAGTTTTATTCATTGTCTTTGTTCAGTGGGATTAGAGACGTGCAAATACCTCAGTTACGGCATGATTAGGGTTGGGCATCAAACATGGAGCACCGATTTGAACCGGGACTAATTGCCAGTTTTTCCCTGAATCATTCAATTTTTTTCATTTCAATTCTTGGTATCGAGTCCCAGTTCACCGACCAGAAGAAGATACTGCCAAAGGGACAGCAGTAGCTCAGGAGGTGGAGCGGGTCATCCAGTAATCGGAAGGTTGCAGGTTTGATCCTGCCTCCAACCAGAGAATACTGCTCTTGTGTCTTTGGGCAAGACATTTGACTCACCTTGCCTACTGGTGGTGATCAGAGGGACCGGTGGTGCCAATGTTCGGCCGGCCTTGCCTTTGTCATTGTGCCCCAGGACAGCTGTGGCTACATCGTAGCTCATCCCCACCACCGTGTGAATGGATGAATGACTGATTGTGTCATGATGCACCTTGAGGGGTTGTAGAACCCTAAGTAGGCGCTATACAAATACAGGTCATTTACCAAATACCAGTGAAGAAGAATTCCACTGGAAGTGTTTGCGTTACTGTGCAATCATGGAAAATGTGCGGAGGTATGCTAAAGCTGGACTTCGGCCGATGCTTATGGAACATCATCTGCAAATTCTGATCAACACCTTTCAGAGCGGATCATGTCAGCTGTCACTAATCCTTAGTAGCCGACAGAGACCCTGTGTGCAGCGCCGCGTCTCTTTACCTCCTTCCTTCACACTGCAGGAGCGCAGCGGGAAAAATGTCAACAAACACGTCTGCTGAACTTTTACTGCGAGAGTCATGTAAACTTTTCATTCTGAATAAAAAATACAGCGTTTGTGTTAAAAGGGTGTTAAAATGAGACAACACAACATTTAATACAAGTTTTAAGGAACCAACTGGCCAAAGTGAAGTGAGGCAAGTCTCACTGCTGAAGCCATTACGGGTAAATATTTAAGGTGATCTTATTGCTCATAGAATTAAAATTCATGTAGAAGTTCAGACTATTTGATCACGTAAGAACTGTGGAAAGCTGGCTCATTTAAAACATGTAAAGTTTTTGGACCCTGCCTCTTTAAATAATCTGAACTGAGAATCAGTGGGAACCGAAATCGAAACGAGGAGTTGGAATCGAAACCAGAATCATTCAAATTCCAACGATGCTCAACCCTAAGCATGATTCATTTTAAGAACAAAAAGTGTACATGTAGCACCAGACAGCTGTGTACTTTCAGTGCTTCTTGTCATTCATGTATCAGTCGATTTTTAATAGGAAGCCCGTGTTTAGAATTATTGAATGTGCACTGTTTACTAATTTCATGTTTGAACCCGTCCGTCTTATGTTGGCTTCTCTCCTCAGATGTGAAGGTTTTTAACTTAGAGGCTGGAAACGGTTCAGCCTTTTCACTTCAGTCTTGCCTTTTGTCGTCCTACTTGTCCATTTGAGTCCTTCGGTGAACAAGTGTCCCGTTGACTGCACATCCTGCAGCACAATCCGCTTCCATATTGAATGGGGTGCCCAAAATAAGACAAAGAAAACCAAGTAAATTTCATCAATGTATAGAAAAAAAATGGACCACTTGTTTTACTTGTTGTGAAAAGCGCTACTATGTAGTCAAAAACTGTCTCACCTACAGATCCACACACAATCACGCTGATTATTTTTTATTTGAGCACAGCAGCTTTAGGAACTATGTGAATTGACAGAAGTCATCACTTGAAGAAAAAATTATCTGAGATGTGTTCTTTTAGTGAGTACATTGTTCCGTTTGGTTACACAGAGTGGTGGGACTTAATACCTGTACTGCTGCCAGCCACTAGAGGGAGCATGCCTTTTTTCTTATTTTCATGTCTCGTTCCAATAGTTGCTGTTCTCAACATTTCATGTAATTTATCACTTGGGAGACAAAATAGTGTTAAGTTCTTGGTGAGAAATCACCCAGACTTCTAGACGGCTGACAAATCAGCACATTAAAACCAACGTTCAGACTGTAGAGACAAAGGTAAGCACATGCACAATAGGTTTGCTGGTGTGGAAAGTAGGACCAGTTTCCAGGCCAATAACTCAGCGCTGCTTCACATAAGTATAGGCAATTGTTAAAATTGGGTGTTGAATTCTGTTCAAACGCTAATAAGGACTTTTAAATTTGCACCATTCCCTTTTAGTATAATCTCATAGGCTCTTTTAAGCTAACAGAAAAAAGTTTGCTGCCAAACAATGTAAATATGTATTGATTTGTCAAAATTATTACTTGAATAATTTTATTGTTAGGCAAAATTCCGATGCCCATATGATCTGAAGAACTGTTTATAACTACAATACTAAATATTACATTTTAGTTTCATTAGAGATGGACCAGAAAGTGGTTTGTTGATCAGAATCGGTCAATAGTCAGCATGATCGACTAAACTGATGATAAACTAATCTAAGACGGCTTCTTTTTTGTGAATGCAGCAACAAAAAATCTGACATTTTTTTAATTCCCTGAATGCACCATTGTTATGTGCTAATTCCCACTAGTTATAATGGAGCTTTCTTTCTTCTGTTCATAACTTTTATTTGAGATGATCGAGAAATATTCATAGACCAAATTTGTGCATCTCTGCTGAATAAAGTATCCTTGTTGAAGGGAGATCACATGTAGCAGAAGCATCACAGACCAGTACACAAAGGAATCATAGTTTAATAGAAAATTAAAGTTAATTTATTTTGTTGACAAGTCATTGAAGATGCTACAAATGTTTTCGGAAAATTTTGTACACACACACACAGATATTGACATTTCTTTTTCAAGTAGGGTGCTACGTCCAGAATTATGTAGGTAATTTACATCATCAGCACAGTTTGAATATCTAAATGTCGTAAGTGCAGCGCCCAGCAGATATGAGGGTTGGACTTGAAGCTGTGAACAGAAAAAAACTGATTTTGTTGCTGCATTTTTCTTCCATCAGCATCGTCACACTGGATTAGTTCACTAGTCACACCTACGTGTCCCCTTACTGAGTGCAATACTCAACAGCTGATGTGTCACTAAACTCATGAGTTTTAGTAACTTGTAACAGAAACCATTTATATGGTGGGTTATTTTTCTTACACAGGCAGACACTTAGACACACCATGACCGTCGTGAACTGGCTTCATTTAGATTTTAACAGTGTTACAGTTCTGTGTATAGTGCAACATATCAGAAATAAATATTAGATATCTGAACTTTGGTCTTTTTCTTTTTTTTTCCCCAGAATGTTTTACAGGTAAATGATGTATGTATAGATAAATTACAAATAGAGGACTAGTGAGTGTGAGAGGGGTGGGGGGGTGGGGCACTTACGATTAGCCCAGCGTTGATCCTTTGGGAGCAGATGGTGAATGGTGGCTTATCTAGATGCCCTGAGTCCAAGTAGTTAACAGCAGCGTGTTGCAAGACGTAACACAGTTTAAAGGAGTCTGTCAAGCAAAGCTCATGAAACAAAACTGAAGCGATACAGGTGAGCATCACGTCCAGATCCATACTTAGTTGCATTTTCTGTAAACATGTAATTGTTAGTTTTTTTAACGATGAGTATCTGCTCTTTTCTTCTGAGCCCTTAAAAATAACTAGTCATATTTGAGTTTTTCATACAAATAACATAAAGGTTGACATTGGCCTCCCCTCACAGGTTGAGGTCAGACCTTTGTGAGAAGACGGGATGTTGCTGAGCTGTGCTGCTCTGGTTCTGCTGCTCTGTGTGCAACGTCTGCACAGCTCTGCTCTTCCTGCCGTGTCCTCCTATGAGTTCACAGCCTGCAGGATGCAACAGTACAACCTGGCACAGCAGAAACATGGTAAGATTATTAGATTACATTATGAACATGTACCTGGCATCATGTGACCATGAATAGGCTTATTCAGATCCTGATGACGATTACCGTAGCTGTTTGTGATTCAGAGATTGTGCACAACAGTTATGAAAATTCAGCTTAAAAAGTTTTTTATCTTGTTTTTTCAAGATCATTTAATCTTAATATTCAAAACAAAAAGCTCTTGCTAACACGTGCATGCCACCTTCTGTTTCTGCTTGTTGATCCTAAAGATTTGTGCGTCTTAGAATTAAAGATGCATTTCTTACCAGGAATAACATTTAAGAGAAACAAATGACTGCTTATTGGCTGAGCTGCAACTGGAAAAAAGAAAAAAGAAAAACCTGATTCGAAAACCAACCAGTTTGCAAAAAGGTTGTTTTTCTGCCTAAAAACAAAGTAATGATTATGACAATGTAGTCAAATCAGAAATGGGAGATTTTTCATGTAAGGCTAAATATTTCCATTGAACTTATCTTGTTGAGGTTGTCGTGGGGCTATAGTGGTGGCTGAGGCGCGCTCAGCAGAGGAACCTTTTCTGACTCGCCGCTGTGTCATCATGAAGGTCCAGGACTTCACCACAGAAAAATACTTGGAGGCCCAGAGACAGAACGCTGCTGCTTTTTTAATCCTGCTGCCCCAAAATATTTCCAGCATTCCTCATGACACAATACAGGTAATGCTGTTTCCAATTATTGATGATATCCTAGGGCTTTGATTATGTGAGTAACAGCTTGTTACAAAAAGTTTAACATTTGGAATAAAACCAAAACACTGCGTTTTATCTTTTAGTCCTTTATGGCAAGTGAGAGCGAAGCCTTGCAGAAGGAAACAATGATTCCTTTGTACGTAGTACCAGAAAGTGAGCATCTGCTCTGCATGTATGAAGAGGTAAAGCAGGCTGCAGCCTCCCGGACATCATCCATATTTGTCAGAGGTAAGACACTTTTCCAGGCATGGCCTTTGCATGAATTCTTATAGCATTTTTACTCATTTTAAGTGTGCATGTGCCAATTCACAATACTTTTAGCATCCTACAGACTTTTCCATTCTCTCAACAGGTTATGACTCATAATGTTTATCTGGCTGTATTAAAGCAACGTTCTCTACAACACCACTATTGGAAATACATTAAAAACACTTTAAATAGCTGCAAAAAGCATTATTTGCATCATTAAAAAACATTACCAGATTTTTTTCAGAATGTACATAAAAAAGAACAAGTTGAGATTATGTCTGTCTTGTTATTTCTGTTTCCACTATAACAGTGTTAGAGCTAATATTTGTGTTATTATCGCCACTTGAGATAAATTATGATGCAGCTGTTGTTACTGTTAGGTTAAGTTGTTTTATCTTTCAACCACCACAAGGAGGTGCTGTGTTCCTGACAGACCCTGATGTTTATAGCGGTGTATTTTGGGTAATTGTCTTTAGAAAACACACTTTAATTGAACAGAGACATTTTTGACACAAATATGCTGCTAAGAATTATGGTTTTGCAGACAGTGCAATTAAAGGAAAACTATACAACTTTTTTCATATTTTAAAATTATTTTCTTGTGACAGCATGTGTTAAAATGACCCTTTACAGGTTTAATGAAATGTCACTCAGACCTCCACCGCCCCCCTGTGGCCAGAATATCACACTTGCAACTTCAGACTGGTGGGCTGCCTCCTGCAGGACTTTTTGACATGCCAGTTGCTGCAGTCTGCTTCCTGCAGGTTTCCTGCATGTTTTAGATCATGAACACAGCTGGGATGTTTGATTTAGTGATGAATAACACTTGTAGACACTAATGAGGGCTGAGGAGACATTTCAGCATTTAGAATAAGGTGTTAAAAAGACGAATGCACAGCGAGGAGATAAGTTTCAAATTTGGTTCTACTAAGGAACTAGGGGGTGCTAAAAGCAAGCCAAAACGTTTAATTGTGTCATGAAATGGCTTCAAAAATAATAAAACAAACTGACAGCAATACATAGTCATTATAAAAAAAAATCAAGTTATATTATAACATGTGGAGTACCACAGGGCTCCACACTGGCACCTCTTCAGTTTCTTATATGAAATGTCTGCTAAGTTGTTTTTCTTTTCTCCACCTTCCATCATTTAAATTTTCTGTAAGATACCAAGAAGGCAAATTTAGGAATATACATAAAAATGACACTTTAGTCCAAATCTGTAAAAAAACAAACAAACTATTTTTAAACCTCTATTAAACTAAACCTATTTTTGTACTGCATATGTGTGTGTGTGTGTGTGTGTGTGTGTGTATTTTCAATTTTGATTTTTTTGTAAAAGAAAATCTTAATCTTGATGTAATTGTTAGAGATGACTGCTATGTTCGTTTTTTCTGATGTAATCCATAATATGCCTTAGGGGTTTCCTAATCTCATCTGCACATTTTTTCCTTGCATTTTAATAACTGTATTGTTTTTATTTTTATGGATGTTAAGAGATGTGTCTAAAGTGTATAACAGAGCAACAAAAAGAACCCAAAATTGCTATAGACAAAAACAAAGGAACTGAAAAAGAATTTAGCTGAACTCTGGATATTTTTTATCGTTGGCAGTTCTTCGAAGCATGGTCACCGCTACAGCTTTTCAGATCTTAGTGAGCAACAATGCTCCCATTAGACCCATCACTGACACTTCTATAGTCACATTAGAGGTACGCACAAATCAGATCTTCCAGAGAAGTACAGAAACTTCATAAATAGTAATTTTTTATGTTGGTATTGATTATTTGTTCATCATGCTAATCAGGGAGTGTTGCCTGGAGCAGAAGAAGATGCTCCCACCATCGTCATCACCGCTCACTATGACTCATATGGGCTGGCCCCGGTGAGTCAAATGATTAAACACTCAATTTAGAGATTTAATGCTTTAATGCATGGATCCTTTTTAAAATTCAGCCCAACACTGTCATCACACGTGGTTTTTTTTGTGTGTAAATCAGTGGTTATCGTTTGGGGCTGACTCTAACGGCAGTGGGGTCACCATCCTGCTGGAGTTGGCTCGTCTCTTCCAGAAGCTGTATAGCAGCTCTAGCACCAGACCTCAGTGAGTTTTATTTTTTTACTTTTTATTTTTTTATAACAAGAAAATTTCATATTTCTTTTGATGTTTTAGATTTAATTTGATGTTTTCCTTGACTGGAGGAGGAAAGTACAACTTCCTCGGCACAAAGAGGTGGATTGAAGAGAATCTTGATCATGCCGGTTAGTTTCCGTCCTATGTAGTATGTGATGGATATATGCTAATCTGATGTTACATTATTCTGTTTTATTAAAGCCAAATATTTATCCCGCAGAGTCTAGCCTGCTTCATGACAACGTTGCATTTGTTTTGTGTTTGGACACACTGGCCAAGGGCGATGAGCTGTACATGCATGTGTCTCGCCCGCCAAAGCCGGACACTGCTGTGCACTATTTCATTCAGCAGCTGGAGGAGGTAGCTGGTTTCACTGTCACTATATGAGAAAGCATATATTTGTCCTGTCAGAATTAATGATGTCTGCTTTCATTGTGTGTTGGTCCTCCAGGTGGTTTACTCCAGATTTCCCTGGGTGAAGGTGGGATTGGTTCACAAGAAGATCAATCTGGTAGAGTCCACTGTAGCCTGGGAGCACGAGCGCTACAGCCTACGGAGGATTCTGGGATTTACTTTGTCTCATTTGGAGGATCCCAAATCTGAACTCCGTGGATCTATATTGGACACGATGTAAGATCAAACTGGTGTGACTAAAAGGAAGATATAATCTATTAATGTAAATCTCCCCTGACAGGTCCCAAGTGGATTTTAGGAAACTTAAACGTAATGGCATCATCATAGCTGAAGCACTGGCACGATACATGTATAATCTTTCTGATAAGGTGAGTGAGTGGAAAAAAAAAAGATGAATCTATAAACTAAAGAGTTTAACATCATTTGTTTACTTTGTTTTCAGGGTTCACCAAAGGATGTGCAGGTTTTTAAAGGTCATTTGGTAAGTTCCTGGTTCATGTGGTTGATGCGCTGCCCTCTGGTGTTGACTCACGGACTTTACTTTAGTCGTCAGCAGCATAGTTTTCATTGTTCAAGCCAAAAAAATTCACTTCTCAATTAGACTTATTTAAGTTACGTGCAAATTCGGCAGTTTGAAATGTGTTCATTTATAAAAATCACTCATTTGTAATTATTGCAGAAAAAAAAAACTTCAAGACAGGCTCCACAATGTGCATGTTTCTATTTTAGTGTCTGCCTTTGATGTTTTCATACCCACATTATTATTCTCTTTGCAGGACTTTCAGGACAGTCGAATGTCCAGTCTCATGTCCTTTTTGACATCAGTCCCTCGGGCCACTCAGCTGCTGGATAAGGAACCTGGTCACATGCTGCTGGTCAACTCAATGGAGCACGAGTTCAGACGGTACCTGCAGCAGGTCCACAGACACACCTTCAGACAGGACAAAAGGTGACACATGCGCTTCACGTCTTCAAGCTTCTAGTGGCACAAAAGGCAAAAATTAAATACTATTGATTCATTTCTTATATGCAGGGACCCTGACATCACCTTTTACGATCAAATGAACCAACCAGTAGTGATGTACAGGTAAACACGGCTTTTGTCCATGTCATAAATGTAATAATATATTCTGAAACACGTCTAGATGTGGGAATTTTCTTTTTCCCAGGGTAAAACCAGCAGCATTTGACCTCTTTCTGGGTGGATGCATCGCTGCGTATCTGGGGGTTGTTTACTATGGAATCCAGGTCTGTTACTGTATATTAATGACTGTATATTAATGGCATAGAAACTATCACTACTCCTCATACACAGAGGTGGGATGTAACCATATTCAAATGTTTCCTTTCAGGCTGTTTCTTTGTGGTTCACTACATCTTGAAAGATCTGATTCATACATTCTGTTGTTTTCAAAGTTTCCAAATGTTCCTAAATGTCATGTTTGTTGTCTTTTTGTGTATTTTACAGAACTTTGGATATCTGTACACACAGCTGAAGGCAGCAGTAAAAACAAAGCAGAAGTAATCGGCAACTTTGAAGTCTGCCCGGCACTTTTTTGGACTTGCTGTGCAACAGTTCCCTTCCTCATAGCAATTGTGTGAATTTATTCTGAAATGTTGGATGATTTTTAAACATTTTTGTACATGTCTTAGAAAGGAATAAAACAATTAGCCACTAAAACTGAAAGAATATTACTGGTGTCTGATTTTGTACACCAGTGACTTACAGCAGAGTCCGATGATGCAGCGTCCTCTCTGCTCTGCCTCTATGGATTTGACTGGTTCTTGTGAGGCCTTTAATCCAGGTCTAACCAGTGCAGAGGATGTACAGCCAGTTCCTGTCACAGATAACTCGGCAAGAGTGCCAGAGACACAATGACCCCCTGCAGTGCTTGATGAATTAATAATGTCTGAGGCATGCTGACAGTGAATGTGGTGACAGTTGGTGATAAAATCTAGAATATCTAGTATATATATATATATATGAAATCTGATTAGATAATTTGAACTACAAGACAGCTAAACAGCCTCCAGCTGCACGTCAGTGTTTGAAATCAGGGTTGTCATGTTAATAAGGACCTCCAGAGCTATGCAGGTCAAGGACAGTGACCCCAGGTATGTGAGTCTCTGCAGGGGGGTTGAAGCTTCGGGAGATTAGTGAGTGCTCAGGTGTCACTAGAGTTGTTCTGCTTCAGCAGGGATGCTCTGAACTTGTCCCAACAGACTGGATTCATCACATTAGCAACAGCTTAAACAAAGAGTTTGATTTATCTTGTGGCAGTTCTGTGCAGGATTTTTCACTGCTGATGCAAAAGAAAGATGCATATGAAAAAAAATTGTTTTACAGCCACAGAATAGACCACACGTGCAACCCCACAACAATATGCACACATTTATTAAATAATCCCCCCTAACGGGAGGATAGGGGTAAGTAGATGAAGGGAAGGGGTGGAGCTAACAGGTGAGGAGAAGGATGCTGCACAACTTTCAGACAGACTAGTGGCAACAGTCTGAGGAGATGACCGCTCAGCTCTACTGCACGAGGTACAAAGAGCAGTTCTGCTCTCCAGGAAGAGTGCAACGCACAGAACTTCGACCGACTTCAGCTCATCGTAGGAACAACCCTCAGCCACGGCCGGTGAGATGCCCAACTCTGTCATTGTGAGGCTCGCTGGACTGAGTTATCACCATTCAGCCAATATGAGCAATTATAGTGCGTAACTTGTGCATTTTTAAAATGCATTCTAGTTAATAATAATCTATGCTTCCATGTCTAGCTAGTTATTCAAAAATCAACAACAACAAAACAGTAACATAAAAGAGACATTATGTAGTGCAAACATATATGTATTTTGTTGCATTAATTTAAACGATTAAATGATTCAACTGATTATTGCCAAAAAATTGAAAAATTGTAGGAAAAATCCCAGACATGCTTTTATTTTGTGTTTTGGCCTCTGAAATAGAGATGGAGATCAGCAGCAGAGTTACAATTTACAATAACTGGAGTGAAGACAAAACAATGACGTTTAGGTTTGCATTACAGTACAAAAGTTTTAGGCAGGAGTGGAAAAAGGCTGTAAACAAAGAATGCTTTTAAAAAATATAAGTGATGAGTGTTTATTTTTTTTACTATTTTACAAAAGGCAAGTGAGTGACCCCAAACATCCAGCCAAAGTAATTAGGGACTATCTTCAGTGTAAAGAACAATAAGTCCTGCAAGTGATGGTCCTCCCCCATAGAGCCCTGATGGAGTGTGTCTGGATTACATGAAGAGACAGAAGGATGTAAGGAAGCCTACCTCCACAGAGGATATGTGGTTAGTTCTCCGAGCTGGAACAACCTACCAGCCCAGTTCCTGTCCATTCACTGTGTGCAAGTGTAGCCAGAAGAACCAGTGCTGTTATGAAGGCAGAGAGTGGTCACTCCAAATATTGATCTGATTTAGATTTCCCTGTTGTTAATTAACTGCTTTTTGCTTATTAAAAAGATATATGCAACTATTTCTTATTTTAAAATAATTTTCTTGAGCCAGTATGTGCTAAAATGACCCTTTACAGGATTAATGAAAAGTCACTCAGACCCCTACCGCCCTCTGTGGCCAGAATACCACATTTGCAACTTCAGAGTGCTGGTCCGGTCTGTTGGGCTTAGAAAAAGAAGGAGCTGACATATCTGGTTCAGCAGTCTGCTTCCAGCACGTTTCCTGCATGTTTTAGATAATGAACACAGCTGATTTGTTTCATTTAGTGATGAATCCCTCCTGTAGACACAAATTAATGCACTGCAAGGAGGAAATGGGGGTGCTAAAACAAGCCAAAACTGCCTAGTCTCCCTTTAATGAAAATTTTTGGAAAAAAAAAAAAATATTTGTTTACAGCTTTTTTTTTTTTTTACACTTTCTTAAAACTTTTGCACAGTGGACAAAAACTGCTAGCTCATAGAAGAACTGCTGGCAGGAAGTTTAACACAGATTTATAATTGCTTTCCCAGGACTTCCTGTTTCCCCACAATCTTCTGTCCCTCCACGGGACAGCACGTGCACAGCCATACTCTTTGCCCCCTGTGGACACGGATCGGCCCCCCTTCCCTCCTATGAGGCATTTCTCGTTTCACAGTCCTGTTGCAACACGTCCTGACAACTCTTTCAACGCAACAAACGCAGGCACTTCGCAGAACATGCCTCCCATCAACGCGTCTGATAGGGTGCAGAAAGTACAGCTGATGGATCCTCCTCCCCTCACTGCCGTTCAGCTTCCCACTACTCTGAAAAACCCTCAAAAGTAATCATTAACAAGTTCAGGCTTTAACTGGGAGATAACTCCAAACACACTGATTGTTTTGTGGTTTCTTTGCAGCACAGTTGATCATCAGAAGAAGGCCACTCCACTCTCAGCTCCACATATCAGGTATGTAAACAACCTTTGACCTTCTTTTAAATTCTCTGAATAAAATAATACATCTTAAACACTGATGTGAAAAAAACTTTAAACAGGGTACAAACAGGAGCTCGGCTTCAAGCAAGACCCCAAACAAACAACCCTCTTGCAGCTTCTCACTGCTTCAAGCGGACACACCAGTCCCGGGGGTGTTGCTCTAACGGCGCTCTGGATTTTAGGTGAATGCTGGTGAATGGTGCATGTCGTTGTTTTGCATTTTAGTGCCACGGGGT